GTTCTCAATGGGTTTCCGTTTTCAATGGGTTTCCGTTTACAATAGGTTTCTATAAAAAGTAAGGAGCAAATTCACTCCTTAAATTGCCACACAAGAAATACGATTTGTTTTAATGAAAATTTTGCCCAGGCTTTTGTCTTTTTTTATAGAATTTCCCCAGGGAAACCTCATGTGATTTCACAAAAATTTTCAAGAAAAAGAAAGTGAAAAAAAAAAGCTAAAATTTTCCCTGGAATTTTTCATGTTTTGTGAAGCGATTTTTGAACACATTGTGTGACGTTGAGAGGGGAATCCCTTTTGGAAAGAGATTTAAAAGTTTACACCACTTTTTCTTCCCGCCATTACCTAGCGTCACACCGAATTTTCGATTGGATAATCCGCTTTGGAGATTAGCTAGGCGAGATTTGTGATTTCTTACTTTTCCAGATTTAACAAAGAGATTTTCTGAATTTGAAAGAAATCTTGAAAGAAAACAAGTTTCGATTGGAAGCAGATGGCTGCTTTCGAGTTGCCTATGAGCTTCGAAATTTCAAAATGCTTAACTTAAAGGTAGACTTGTAACGAATGACTTTGTAAGCCTTTACAGTAAACTTGTAACGAAAACATCTGTCGATCCTTTTTTGCCGTTAGCAATTCAAAGTTTTTCGTGTTTTTTATCTGAAAGATTCCTCTTTTAAATTTAAACATTCACTAGACAAAGACGCTACAAACTACAAGGTCAGACTACAAACTAGATTTTTAACGAAAACATCTGTCGATCCTTTTTTTGCCGTTAGCAATTCAAAGTTTTTCGTGTTTTTCTCAGCACCAACCCATCAATTTTGACTATTTTGATTGTCATTCGATGCAGAATAAAATTGCGCATCAAATGATACCAAAATTAACTCAAAATATAATAACTATGCAAAGTTGTTGGCTAAAAAAAACCGAAACCTCACTCATTATGGGCGGGACTTAACCTTTTGCCTCACGACTTTGCATAGTTGTTATATTTAGAGTTAATTTTGGTATCATTTGATGCGCAATTTTATTCTGCATCGAATGACAATCAAAATAGTCAAAATTGAAGGGTTGGTGCTGAGAAAAACACGAAAAACTTTGAATTGCTAACGGCAAAAGAAAGGATCGACAGATGTTTTCGTTACAAGTTTACTGTAAAGGCTTACAAAGTCATTAAGCCACCAAAAATTAGACCCTTATCACCAGGATACTTTAGTTAAATAGAATATTACAGTACCCAAAAGCTTACAATTAAATGTGCTTTTGTTAGATTCTGTCTAGCTTACAGACAATAGAACTCAACTAGAAGGTTCCTGGTATAAATCGAATATCTTTTGAAAAGCTTTTAAAGCCAAAAAAGATGTCCAGGCTTGTCATCTGAATACTCTTTATTTGTGCTGTAGTGAGACAGATCCTTACAACACTCAGAAAGTATTCAGCTCTATTCTGAACAGATTTGAGTTGTACTTTTTGTTTTTTGTACTTTTGTACAGTACATTTTGCTCAAAATTACAAAAAACGCCCTCTTTCTGTTGCACTTGATTCTCGTTTTCTGCAAATGAGTGCAAGAAAAGATGAAGAATTGAGTGCTCGAGAAATGATGGGTTTGAGCGTACTTTGTACTCCACAAAGTACACGTTTTACTCAAAATCACAAACGCCCTCTTTCTGTTGCACTTGATTCTATAAAGAAAATTCTATAAAATCTTATAAACAAGTTTGATTTTAGTGAAGAAGAACACGTATTTTTTTCAAAGACCAAACGCATTTTTTTCACGAGATCCCCTAATGAGATAATAGAAAAAAAAACTCCTCGATCCAAAGAGAAAAGAAATTTCTCTCTGGAAAATTCCCAAATTTTCTATGTACTCGTGAAAAATTCAAAACGTAAACATAAGAGATCACTCGTAATTGCGAGCTTTTTGAATTATTGATAAAGAGAATGATCGGGATGAGATTTTAAAAGGATTTAAGTAAAGATATTCAGCTAAACACATATAGATATTCAGCTTATAAAGTAACAAAAGATAAAAGTAAACGTATTTCGGGAGTAAACAAAAGCCAATGAATTGTTCAAATGATCTCCTAGAAAGCTAAATTTCTATAGAAGTTCTTTATCCTTAATTTTATTTTATTCTAAAGACCAGCAGTTTTCAGCAAGATTCTATGCGATCTAAACCATTCTAGGCAGAATTTTATGCTGATTTCGAATCTGTATTCCGTTTTTGCTAAATGACAATATGTTACGAGTTATAAGCGTCTAAAATTTTGTTAGTTAGTTGCTGAAAATGTGGCCATTTGGGTCTCGGTCTGGCGCGCTCTATTCGGTGCAGTCATTGTGGTAGAACGCTCGAGTGGTAGAGCGCTCGTTTCCGGAGCGAGCCCTCACAACTTCGATCCCCACTTTGGGTTCTTCTTTTGCTTTTTGTCAAGTGCTTGAATCGTTTTCAAGTTCAAGCAGTTCGATCCAGACTAGTGTTCTTTGTAAATATTAAATACTTTAAAGCCACTGAAAAGGATAGCAAAATGTTCCAATTAAGATATTCAGTTATGTTTTAGAGATTAAGGAACTAGTCCAATTTTTAAGGCATTCAATGACTCTCTTCTCAAATATCAAAGTATTTTCGTGAATCCGTGACTTTTGCAGAAAGAGAGCAAGATAAACGAAGATAAAACGATGAAAAGAGAGGGAAATTGGGAACATAAACGGATTTGAAGAGGGATTAGAATGGAAGAAACATCCGACAAAAAAAAGGGGGGACCGTAATTCTTTTACGGGGATTCTTCTCTTTCCAACAAATCCCCCCAGCAATTCTTGTCTATTCAAAAAATCCCATGTCCAATTAGTCGATTCTCTGGAGAGATTCGAAAATATTCTGAAACTTGAAAGTTATTTTTTGGATCATTTTCTAAATTTGATTTGAAATGCCCTTCCCATTACGGCGTCGACAGCGCGAGCAAAACCGAGATAAACCCCAAAATTTGAATGCCACCGATTTAATGCTGATGGGTTTATTGGAAGAAGCTTATGATATTGCGTGAGTCATCAAATCATTTCAAATTTTGTTTGAAATTTGAGATTTACGATTCAAAAAGTTAGCCTTATCTTTTGTGATTACTAGACCCTAGACTTGTACTTTGTAAACAAAATAACTAGAAGAAGCTTATGATATTGCGTGAGTCATCAAATCATTTCAAATTTTGTTTGAAATTTAAATTTACGATTCAAAAAGTTAGCCTTATCTTTTGTGATTACTAGACTGTACTTTGTAAACAAAATAACTAGATAAAATTTTAAATTATTCTTTAAAAGCTATTTAAAAGCTTTAAAAGCTTTAAAAGCTTTAAAAGCTATTTAAAAGTATAAAAGCTATTTAAAAGTATAAAAGCTATTTAAAAGTATAAAAGCTATTTAAAAGTTTAAAAGCTTTAAAAGCTTTAAAAGCTATTTAAAAGCTTTAAAAGCTATTTAAAAGTATAAAAGCTATTTAAAAGTATAAAAGCTATTTAAAAGTTTAAAAGCTTCAAAAGCTATTTAAAAGTTTAAAAGCTATTTAAAAGTTTTAAAGCTTTAAAAGCTAAAAGCCTTAAAACCTAAAAGCTTTAAAAGCTAAAAGCATTTAGAGTTGCTAGTTTTATTAAAAATCAATTTTTGAGATTTTTAAAGCAATCCAAGGTACTCAAGGTAAAAAACTAGACTAAACTTGGAAAAAACAAAAGATCAAATCATAAATTTTACCTAATTTTATAAAATTATTATATTAAGAATGTTATTTAGAAATTATTATCAATACTTAAATGCAAAATAAGAAATAAAAGATTCCATTAAAAGACTTTTTTTGAAATCTTGCTCTTGTTTTCTAGCTGAAGTTCGTTTGTAATCAAAATTCAAAAGTTCTGATATTTACATGTTTTTCTCATTTTTAAAAGTTTTATTATCTTTTCAATCAAAAACTTTTCTCATTGGCTAATGCGATATTGAAAAAAAAAACCACGTGATTAGCCGGATGTTGGGTAAAAAAAAATTTGTCTTTCTGTTGTAATCTTTGAGTTTTTTAAAGCTTTCTTTAAAAGCCAATGATATCATTTTAAAGATAAATGTTAATTTAACTTAAATGTTCATTTATTTTATAAAGTTGATTGATGTTGTTTTACTGTTAACTTTATCCGTTTCCTGTCAGTTTTGATCTGAATGAGTATTCAGACGGGAGATTAGTGGGAAAAGGCAAAAAACCGGAAAGATTTTGAGTTATTAATTTTTCAAAAAAAATTATCACAAAACAATCGAATCTTAATGAAACATTTAAAAATAGCAAAACTAAAAACTCAGCTGGGTAACTGAATATCTTTTAAAAATGGTTATATGAGGAAAAACCTGAAATTAAGTGTAAAATCAGGGTAGGCTAATTTTCGCAATTTTTTTTTGCGCAACAGGGTTATTTGCGTAACTGGGTCGTTTGCGCAACTCGCTATAACTTTCTTCTAAGTAGACCAATCTTTATGATTTTGGTTTCATTTTGTTGCACTTATTGAGATCTACAAAATGAAACCAAAACCATAAAGACCGGTCCATTGGTTAGAAGAAAGTTATGGCGAGTTGCGCAAATAACCCTGTTGCGCAAAAAAAATTGCGGAAATTAGCCTACCCCCGTAAAATCAAAGCTTTAGAGCTATAAAGTTTTATCAAGCGAGTGAGGATGGCTTTTTGCGCCAAATTTTTTTGTGCAACTCGTAACTTTCTTTTAAATGGGTCATTCTTTATGATTTTTGATGTCATTTGGTAGATCTCAACAAGTGCAACAAAATGAAACCAAAATCATAAAGATTGGCTTATTTAGAAGAAAGTTATGGCGAGTTGCGCAAAAAAAATTTGGCGCAAAGGCCATCTCCATAATGGATATATCGCTTAAGATCAGATGATAAAACTTTATAGCTCTAAAGATTTGATTTTTCTATTATATTATATTTATTATATATATATAATTATATAGTTTATTTTAGTGTGATGTCTGACATCAAACGCTCTCTACTCGACATTTCACCTGGATCGAAGGGCGATGGGGATGAGGAAGAAGATGAAGACAGCCAAGCTCAACTTAACCCAGAGACTTTCGCCGAGTTTTGCACAAGTGGGGAAATTGTTTACGGTTTTATAATCTTTAAAGAACATATAAATATTTAGAGAGTCTAGTTTTAGTATGTAGCCAATCTTTGTGTACTGAAGAGTAACCAAACCGGGCTCTAAGTCCAAGGAGGCTTTTAGCTAACTTTTGAGCCAGATCTTTAACCTTTTTGGTCTTGAAATTAATCCTAATAACAAGCTAATATAGACGATTTTATATAGTGATTCTGAAGGGAAATTAAAAGCTGATTTTTTTCTAATACTGTCATCAGAATATTTTCTAGGACAAACGCGAAACGTGCTACATTTTCTCGTCGAAGATTGGTGTCTGTCAGCGTGTCTCGGGATCATCACTGCTGTCCTTTCTGTGGGGATGGATGTAGCCATTGAGGAGATTCAACATTGTAAGTGGAAAGCTTTTGAAACCGAGTACTTTCTTTATACGTGGTTCTAAAGGATTTGCTGTTTATCAATCTTTCTCTAATCTTTTTATCTCTTTCACTCATCGGAGATCAAAGAGAGAGAGAGATTTGGTAGCGAAAAACACTTTTTTTTCTTCCCCCTTGTCGTTCCCTTTTTTTTAAGCTACCAGATAGTTCAGTGGTTAAAGCAATTGCGTTAGAGCAATTGCACGGAAATCAAAAGAAGGAGTTCAATCCCTCCGGAAATCTTTCTTTGTCATTCCTTTACTTCTTTAATACCTAAAGTACTAATACAAATTAGCAATAAAAATTTAGAAGGTTAGTAGAAGATTTAGATTTAGATGAAACAACCATAATTATAAGATTTAGTGCACGTTGTGGCTCATGATTGGACGATTAAATATTTACCGTCGATGGCTTTATCGACTTGGGTCATTCACGTGGTCTTCTTCACCGCAATGGCTACATTGTTTTGTAAAATTGTATCGGAAAAAGCTGTGGGTTAGTGCATTTCAGAAAGATTTTATTTTACCGCCATTGATTTAGGCAGTGGAATTCCGGAAGTGAAAGTGATCATGCACGGCTTTAAAATGGATGGATATCTCACACTTCGAACGCTCATCGCCAAAATGGTCGGTCTAACGCTGGCGATGGGTGGCGGGTTGCCAATCGGAAAAGAGGTTCGTCGCAAAAATGCAAAAATATGGTTACATTTATGCATTTAAAGTAGATTTTGGTTAGATCTCTCTTGTAGCGCACTTTGTACTCAAAAAAATGCAAACATTAACTTCTGGCAAACTATCTCTTGTTCCAAAAGAAAATTTTAATGAATTTAGTTGCAAAGCTGGGCATTTGAGCATTTGCAGAGCATTTGCATTTTGCATAATTGCACCCAAAACACACTCTTTTTGTCGCTCAGACAGAATCCGTTGTTTTTCTTTAATTTCCTGTGAATCACAGCTTCATCTCATTGTTCTCAAACAGGAAATAATTCAGAAATTCTGTTTTTATTCATTTTGTTAAATTTTTGATTTCTTTTGATTATGAAAAGACAAAGAGACAAAAGTGAGGAGGGAAATCGAAGCGAGACAAATGAGGCTTTTGTTCGAGCCCTGTTTTTTCTTTTTTTTTTTCGTCATTTCCCCATAGAGATGACTGAGGAAAATCCGGGAACTAAGGAAAAATGAAAAAATTGGATAAATTGGAGTGTAAAGTTTAGTTTAAATTGAGAATTTACAAGAAACTTTGATGAACTTTGAAATTGCAATTGAAATTTTTGAACCCAAAACTTTAGCTAGCCTTGAGCTCACAATTTCTTGATCAAGAACAGCACTAAGCAATTGAATATCAAAGTCTGACAAAAAAAGTTTCAAAACTAAAGAACTTGACAGCTATTTTAAACTCAACTTTATAAAATTTCATTGAAAATCATGATTTCTTTAAAAAATGACGAAGTTTTGGTTGTGTTTTTTGAATTTTCAAAAACTCTTAGTTTCTTGGAAAGGGAAAAATCCAAAAGATCAAGTTTGAGCTTTAGAAGAATCGCTCTGAAGCTTAACTTTAAACTTTTTATGGCTTCTGGACTTTTTCAAAATAGAGTTTTGCTTGTTTTCCTCCGCCAAAAACAGATTTCACAAATTTCCATGTAAAATGTGCTGAAATGTTCAGTTTTTTTCGGTGCCAAACTCAATTTTTATTGATCAAGAATCAAAGATTTAGAGGTTGCAGCTTTTGGAAAATAATATTTGAACAATTTTTAGTTTGCCCACAAAAAAACCCACTCAAAAAGCTTTCCTCATCAATTAAAGTAAAACCTATAAGATATGAAAACTGATTAGATGTAGGTGAAGCTCAAAAATTGAAAATCAAATGTGTAATCTGAACACTTAATCTAACATTAATTGGCTTTTTAGGGTCCATTCGTGCACATTGGCGCCATTGTGGCGACACTGCTCTCGAAGATCACCGCCTCGTGTCAGTACTCGGCTTTCTTCTCGAATGAAGGTAAAAAAAATTTGATAGATTTCAATGTCCAGTCGAATAGATCCTTAATAGATTAAAAGCCAGTTTTTGTCAAATAATGTACACTACTGGACAATGAAATATCATATTTGAAAAAGATCGTCACTTTCGCGCGTCTGTAACTCCCTTGTCTTTACCGTATTTCTAAATATTATTATTACCATTGTGTAGCCCTTGAAAAGAGCTTTCAAGAAATGTATAACACTAATAGTTTAAACTCAAAGACAAGGGAGTTACCGACGCGCGAAAGTGACGATCATTTTTCAAATATGATATTTCATTGTCCAGTACTGTATGTACCTAGTTGATGAACTAGAGTAAACCGATGTTCAAGCTACCTTTCTTGGCTTTCCAGAGTTACTGCAGACATTAAGAATTTTGATTTTAAATCGTAAGAATTTAAATAATATGCTTAGAGTCTGTAAAATTGCCTTACAAAAACTCTTGGCGCTATCTTCATCTTATGAAATTTTTACTGGCTTTCCTTTCTCTACCCTACAGCTTTGAACTCATTTTGCAGGCTTAAAATTTTGTTTTTCGCCTTTTTCGCTTTGCTAACTTTTTCGTCACCGCTGAGCAAAGTGGCTTAGAACGTTCTACTGATGACAAACAGATAAACAGCTTATTGTTAGATTTAAGATATTAAATCCAGAATTAGCATTCAGTTTCTATGAAGTAGGGATTTCTTGAAGAGAGACAAATCGATTCCAGGCCGAGAAATGGAGATGCTGTCGACGGGTTGCGCTGTGGGAATCGCTTGCACATTCAGTGCACCGATTGGAGGTAGAATTGATTTTAAAACCAAAAAATGAAAGAAATTTGTTATTATCAATATTTTCAGCCGTTCTTTACGCTATTGAGTCGACAAGTAAATATTTTGCGGTGAAAAATTATTGGCGGAGTTTCTTGGCGGCCACTTGTTCAGCTATCGTTTTTCGCTTTGCTAACTTTTTCGTCACCGCTGAGCAAAGTGGTGAGTTTTTGAAAGTAGAGAAAACTTGAAATGTAAATTTGTTTTAAATAAACTCATACAATAGCCTTAGGCACGATCACCGCTTTCTACCAAACGCGTTTCCCTACCGAGTCGTTTATGATCGAAGAGTTGCCCGTTTTCGCGTTACTTGGGTAAAAATAAGAGAAAGATATAAAGATTATAGTAACAGATTTAATAATCAGATACTGTTTAAACTCATAGTAAAAGAAATATAAGAAAAGAACTCTACAAGATCTCCAAGATCGGCTGAAAAGTTTCAACCAATATAGTCCGATCTATTAGGTTGATGCATAAGTGTTTTTGTTCCTTTTCGTCTGCCGTTTCAAGCCAACAAATGCACGAATTAAACTACGGTTGATTTCATTAGAAAAACCAATTATTTTTCTGCAAAATAACATTAAAACGGGTTTAAAAATATTTTATGCCTGGATTTTCTTGAGAGTATGAAGTCGGGCAGTCAAAAAGGGCTAACTCGATGATGCGGTTTAGACACCTTAGCTAAAAAAAACCTATCTTCGTGTCAATAGATAAAAGATAGAGAAAAAAAGTTTGATATTTCGCCAAAATTTCAGAGAAATTCATTCAGCCAATTTTCCGTAGAGTTTTTTATAGATTTTTACGAAAAAGGCGTTTTTCACTCTCGAATTTGCTTGAAAGTGAACCGAAATTCATTTAAAAAGATGCAAATTGAACAAAAAAACACTTTTTTTATAGAGCAAACTATAGATTAATTGGTGAATTTGTTACTTTTTAACAGAAGTACGAAAAAAACGAAAAGACTTATGCATCAACCTATTAGATGATACAATAGTCTAGATGATCTAGACAATAGTCACCTACTAGATACTTGGTCTATTATCCAATATCTACAATACTCGATGCATCCTATCTATATGATACCAATGCAAATAAATCCAACCTTTCAGCCTCTTCCTTGGCATTCTGGCAGCTTTATTCACTTTCACTCATCGCCGCATTTTCCTCTTTCGACAAAAGAATCGACTCTATCGATTGATCTTCAAGAATAAGTGGGTTAATGTTTTAAAATATCTTCTAAGATAAAATGTACTTAGATTTTTCTTAATTATCCAAAAAATTTAGCTTCTTTTCCTTCACCCTCTTCTTCGCATTCATCGTCGGCGTGGTCACCTATCCGAAAGGTTTTGGGAAGTATATCGCTGGACGGGTAAGTGATATAAAATATAATACGAGTAATCTAATATGTAAAAATGTTAGATAACTTTTTAAATCCTAAAAATTTCAGTTAACTTTCCGCGAGACAATGGCTGATTTTTTCAACAATTGCACGTGGGGAGCAAATGATTCAAGGTAGAGAGAAAAATTGATTTCAAAAGTCTTAGTTCTTTTTCTTTTACTGTAACCTTTAAGATATTTAAATTCGTTATCTATGTAGAGAATTTGCATAGAATTTGCATACGAGTTACGAGTTTGTAATTACCATTAAAAGAGATCTAAAACGATCGGCTATACTTTGATTTTTGGCTTTCTTTTTTTCAGTCACTTCAAATGCAAATTTCTAAACAAATTTCTTTACAAATTTCTATGCAAATTAACCAAATAGAATTGCAAGTATCAAAGCTTTATTTAACTTCATCGCTTTCAGAGCTTGCTCGAACACATTGCTCAATCATTGGATGGGCGGCGAGGAGAGAGATGTGCCGATCTTTCTCTCATTAGCCTGCTACATTGCGGTCTATGTGAGTACTATAACTATAGAAAATATCTATAAATTATCTAATTCTATCCAAATTTTTTTGAAAGAATCAGAGCTTGCTCCAGGATTTGCTTTTGATCATAAAAAGTTTCTTAGAACACATTGGGTCTGGCTCCTGATACCCTGACCTGACCTAGAGCCTAGCCTGGATCTGGGGCCACATTTGGGTAACTAAACCGGATCAATATCCAAAAATAGAGTCGCTTTCTTTCAAAACTAATAATGGATTCGAATTCCTCATCCTCGAAAACCCTTGATTGCAAATCTTTAGCCTAATCGGCCAAAAAAATGCTAAATGCTTTTATGGATAAAAATGTAATTCAACCAGTAAATGGATTAACCTGAAAAGCAGGATTCAAATTGTAATTTTAGTTCGTGCTGGTAGCGATTTGTATCAGCATCAATGTGCCAGCCGGAGTCTTCGTCCCATCATTCATCATCGGTGCGGCGTGTGGGCGCTTGACTGGAGAAACGATGATGTTGCTCTTTCCGCAAGGACTCCGCGGACCCGGCGGTCCACCTATCTACCCTGGACTTTACGCTGTTGTCGGTTCGTGTTAAGCTAATACATTTATATATATCGTAGCCGTTTACGAAACTCAGCCGTTAAAAAAAGGTTTGTTAGGGGGGAAAATTTTAAAAAGGGGGAAATCGTAGCCCACTATTTATATGGTCCAATACTAATATCTTTTTCTCGTTTAGGTGCTGCCGCGTACACGGGCGCTGTCACGCACACCCTCTCCGTAGCGGTGATCGTTTGTGAGCTCACCGGGCAATTGACCCCAATTTTACCCGTATTGGTAAGTAATTGAATACAATAATCCACGCGATTTTGTGCTCTTTAAAACAAACACAGTAATCAAAATGTCTTCGATTCTAATTCAGCTTATTCAGATCGCAATGTTGATGGGCAATGCAATTTGTAAATTTCTCCAACCGTCGATCTATGAGAGTATAATTCGAGTCAAGAAATACCCATATTTACCAGAGTTGCCACCAAGTCGATTCAGGTTGAAAAGAGAGTTTCATATTTTTAAAAAAAAAACAAAACTTTAGTGTTCACACAGTAAAAGTCGAGCAGATCATGGTTGAAGATGTGATCTATATCACAAAGGATATGACATATCGAGAGCTCAAAGAAATCCTTACATCAGCGCCACACTTGAGGAGTTTCCCCATTGTCACCGATCATAGTAAGGACTTTTTTCTTTTCTTTAGTTTTTCATTAACTTCTTCGTCGAGTTGTACTTTGTGCTTTGAAAATTGAAAATGACCTTTTCTGGCATCAGTATTACTCTTATAGTATCAATCTAATGATATAGGAAAGCGAAATGATGTCTATTTTTCATTGTGAGTACAAAGTACAGTCTTGTCTAGTGTTTTAGTCTTTAGAATCTATAGTTTGCATAGAGAAAACTCTATTTTTATATCTAAATACCTTTTTTTGAAAGTTAATCAAGTTATACAAGTTAAGAGTATACACGTCAAACTTTCTATAATAATCTTCTTTCATCTTTAGCCAACAAATTGCTGCTTGGCTCAGTCGCAAAGCGTTACTTGGTGATGTTGTTGAGGCGTCACGTGTTGATCTCTCAACAAGACAGTCGAACAAGTCGCCTCTCTCCGGCCGATATCATCAACACAATTCGGAGGACGTCGATGAGGTAAAGAAGAATAAGTGAAAAGCATATACTTTAATACAAGGTGTTCAATATTTATGGGGATCAGTAGATTACTAGGTTTCGAGCTCATTTTGTACAAATCTAATGCTAAAAAGGAAACACACTTATCAATACGTCCAATGTGAACAATTTTAAGTTACTTTTTTCAAGAATTCTTACCTTTTCCACTGTTGCTTGCCTAGAAGCGCCTAGAAGCGCCTAGAAGCGCCTAGAAGCGCCTAGAAACGCTAGAAAGTCGAATCAATTTAGTTTATCACAAACTCTCGTTAAGCTTTCTTGGAAGAACCAAAATTTGATTGGAAAATTGATTTAATGTGATTCTAACATTTTTAATTTTCTGTAGATTCGAAAACTGTTAAAGAATGAAGACTTTTTCATTTTTAAACAAGAACAACAAAGATAAAGAAGAAAAGAACAAGAACTAGGATCTGACTTTGGTGAAATTTGGTGATCGAGTTCTGATAAATCGATTTTTAGAATATCAAATTTAGTAAACAGTAATCTAGAATCTAGAATAATCTAGAAAATAATCTATTCTTTGAACTCCTGTGCAATGCTTTCTTGACGATTTTTTTTCATAAACCAATTTTGAGAGCCCTAAACAACTTGCGAGCTGAAAAGTTTCCATAAATATTGAACATCCTGTAGTATGTGTACTATACAATAAGCATAGTTATTGTACTATGCTGTAAACTCAAGCAAAACTTTCGAGTAACCCTTAAGCATTATGTCATTTGTCTAACACATTTGTCACGTTAACTGTCACGTTAACTGTCACGTTAACTGTCACGTTAACTGTCACGTTAACTGTCACGTTAACTGTCACGTTAACTGTCACGTTAACTGTCACGTTAACTGTCACGTTAACTGTCACGTTAACTGTCACGTTAACTGTCACGTTAACTGTCACGTTAACTGTCACGTTAACGCTCTCAAAACAATATTCATTGTGTCCAAGTCAAATTCAAAGCTAAACTTCACACAAAAGCTTCTTCGTTTCAAAAAAAAACTTGCAAGCATGATGAGTTTCCTGTTAACAATAAAATTTTCAATGTAACACTGAAGTCTCATTGTTAGCACTGATGAAACGATCAATTTTCATTTGATCATTTGATTTTCAACGATCAATTTTCATTTGATCATTTGATTTTCAACAATCAATTTCCTCTCAACAAAATACTCAATGTAATCACTCGAATCTTAGCACTTTAACCGCTCTTCAAGTGCAAGTGTCCAGCATCAGGTGAATCAACAAAAAAAATAAATGAAAAGGATTGAGTAGACTGGGGAAATTTTGAGATGAAATCGGATTTTTGAAGAGGTTGTTAGCTTGCAAATTGAAGAATTACAAATTACAAATTTAACTCAATACTTTTTAAAGTTTAAAGTCTATTTTAAAAGTTTTTGCATATTGTTGCAACCTCTTTTAACTTAAAAAGTCTCTTTCCGGTTTTATAGATCTCAAAATTTCTCATTTTGTGATCTTGTTCTTACATCTGTAAAACGGTAAAAGACTCAACTTGTTCTTTACGGTGTACATTGTGCTGAAAAAACGGAAACGCATCCTTTCTGGTGCACAAAAAGAAAAAATTTCGGGATAATAAGTCTTTTTTGGAGAAACGAGTGCACTAGGAAGTCTGGATTTCTATTAGTACATCGTACATCGCAAAGAACGAAGTAATTGGGGAGATTTCGGTTGAACTTCTTCTAAACTCTCACTTCAAACTGCACTCCACTCATCTCTAGCGATTCGGTTCTTTTTTTTCTATTTCTTTTCAAACTTTCTCACCTGTCACCTCGTTGCAAAAGTCGAGATTAATCAGTTGAATATTGTTATCATTTTTTTTGGTGCTTGTTGATCTTGTAGACTAAATTTGCATTTAAGCTTACTCAGGAAGCTCACGAACATGCGTGACGATTCGCGTAAAAAGCATAGAAACAAAATTGTTTCAAGTTTCAGGCAAGTCAAAGCCAAAGTCAGCTCTAGAACTATTGCAGCTCTGGCCCAGGTAAGTACCTGAAACTGGCAGAAAGCTGGCCAGCTTTGACAAGGCAAGACAAGACTAGATCAAAGTCAGATCTGGGATCAGGCTTGACTTGGCTCAAAAGCCCTAGAGTCAAGGTAAGACAAGGCAAGACAAGACAAGATCAAAGTCAGATCTGGCTTCAGGCTTGGCTTGGCTTGGCTCAAAAGCCCTAGAGTCATTCCTGAATGCATTCAAATCCTATGTGTTTACAAACTTAAATGCAAATTTACCTGTTTATAGTATCTCATTTAGATCATGTTTATAGATCAACAAGTATCTCATTTATTTTTGCTGTTTTAAAATCAAAAAAAAATGAAGATTTTAATATAGTAAACAATTTTAGACTCTCGAAGAGAGGGACAGCAAGGCGACAAGAACAAGAACAGAGGATTGCCGAGAGGGGAATCTCACGAGTCGCCTCGAATCGATCAGCTGAGGTGAGGGAAAGATTGGGGTTACTCTATAGAAAAGATTTGTACACTTAAACAACATTTACAAGAACTTACAAGAACATTTCATAACACTTATTAAGTGTATAAGGATTACTGTAACTAACAAGGAAATGCCCAGATATGGGGGTGACCGTTTGGGATGAGTGATACCTCATTCGATAAATCTAATGATAAATATTGATGACCAAAAAAGCTGCTTATCTGGATTTAAACACAGATTTCTGTGTTCCTCTCGGTCAGCCAAAGCTAAAGTCTAACCATGTCCATCCAGATCAGGCCAGGGTCTTAGGCCTTGCTTGACCCTGGTTTGCCCAAAAAAAACCATGAAAAATCATCATTGACCTAGCTGGATTATATGGATGGTCCGGATAGAACCTTGGCTTTAATAATTACAGCTTTCAATTCGAAATACTCATCTACAACTTGTTTTTTTTTTAGAAACCCAAAATCAAGGCCAACAAGGTGAGTGCTAGTTGAGATGAGAAAAGAAAAGACAAAAGAAAACCCAGTGAATTCCCTTATTTGCTGTGCTTTGGGATGCTTGTTTTTTTGATTTTTCGGATGCTTTAGTTTAGGTTATTGTAGAAATGAGGAAATTTCAGAGTGCACCCATGTTGAGTGTGACGAAAGAAGAAGAGCAATTTGATATGGTCAACGATCGGACATTCAGCGGGAATACGTACTTAAGGTAGAGATTCTTCGTGTACTTTGTGCTCAAAAGTAGAAACGCACGCTTCTGCCTCACTGAATCCTTGACTTTTCAAGTTCTTCACTTCACTTCACAAGTGAAAAGTGAAGAATTTCAAGCTTTCAGACTCCAAGAGAGAAAAGTGAAGAATTTAAGTGCGCCAGAAGAGGTGCGCTTAAATTTTTCGAGCACAAAGTACATGAATATAAATCTAGAATGAAACTATTCATGTACTTTGTGCTCAAAAACGGAAAGACACCTTTTCTAGCAAATCAGAGCTCATCTTTCTTTACATTGAAGGCATGATAATGCTTCAGTTGCGCCAGAAAGGATTTGTTTGCAAAGTTTGAGCACAAAGTACATAAAGAAATGGGAAAATGCTTAAAATTCTAGCATTTCACCCCTTCACGCTCCGAACAACGTTCCACTTCATGCCGTTTTCACTCGGCCATCCTCTTCAGAACTGCACAAGGTTTTTTAATAGAAAAATTTGAATAATTTTGAAGAATTCTTTTAGAAATAAATATCTAAAAGAATTAGATATTTAATTCTAAAGTGGATATTGATAATTTGTAGGATCAAAGTGAAGAGGAGCTGCTTGGACGGACGATTGACTTGGACGAGATCGCTATTGATTCGGCTCCATTTCAACTCGTTTTGGCCTCATCTTTGTACAAGGTAATACTAAAAATCTTTTAGATATTAGATTTTAAATATTAGCTAATAAATTCTTCAAATTTAAATGCCAGGTTCACACATTGTTCTCCCTTCTTGGCCTTTCGCATGCCTATGTGACGGACAAGGGTCGTTTAATAGGTGTCGTTGGGTTGAAAGAGGTTTGTTATAAGAAAAAAAATTGATAATCTATAATCTACTTTTAGATAATGATAGATAAATATCTAAAGATCATCGATATTTTTAATTTTAGCTTCGTGATGCTTTAGCGCATATTTATGTGAGGGGAGTATTGCCGGCGAAACCTGATCGAAAGCTGACCTCGGGGGTGATCGGTGTGATTCAACGGCATCAAAGTGATGAAGAGAATAAAGATGATGAAGAAGAGGATGGATATAAGGTAGAGAATAGGTTGAAATCGAAATCAATCAGAAAAACTATGTGGTTTTAAATGAATTCGGATTTGGAAAGACGATTTGATTCAAAAAAACCTAGTGAATGTTTTTCAATTTCCGTTTGGAGAACATTTGATGTTCTTCAAATGTTCAAAGTGTACAAAGTACTTTTGGTTATAACTTTCCATAGATTCTTTCTACGATTTGCTATCATTCTTTCTCTTTTTCTTTCTTCTCTTTCTTCCTTTCTCTTCCCCTTTGTTTATCCTCTTTCTTCTCTCGATAAAGATACCAAATAGCTCAATGGTTAGAGCATTTACGCGTCGGTTCATAAGCATCAGCAAAAAGGTCGAGGGTTCATCCCTCTCCGAAAATCTTTCTTTGCAATTCCTTACTTTACTTTATTGTCTATCAGTCTATAAATCTATATCTAAATCTATATCTATCATCAGTGATGAATATATATATGAAATAAATGTTCTCCCGCATTCGCGCAACTACTGATTGATTGATTGTATAGCAAAAAGGTCGAAGTCGAGGGTTCCCTCACTGGAAATCGTTCTTTTTACTTTACTTTATTATGTACAACTGTTCAATTACCATATCAAATTATACAATCAATCAATCAATCAATCAATCAATAGTTGCGCGAATGCGGGAGAACATTTCCTGTCAAAGATCCGGGAGATCATTTCCTATCGAATGATCGTAGATCGAACGACGAAAATCGTAGATCTTTTAAGTTTTGAGTACTTGTTACACCAATGAACATTTATGTGTTCCTCTTGAGTAATGCGTTTTCTAAAATGTACTTATTTGAGAAAACTATCGTAGTCAAATTGCTAGTTTGCATCAAATCAGCTTAAGTTTGGTATAATTCGATGATGAATCAAAATAATGTGAAATGATAATGTAAATGATGTAAAAACTGAGCTGATTTGATGCAAAATGACCGTTTAACTAGGGCGCTTTTCTCAAATAGGTCCATTTTACTTTACAAATACTTGTGAGGAATACATTCTATTTGTGAAACTAATATTGGATATTATCCTAATATTGTTCTAATATTTTCCTAAAATTGTCCAAGTACTAAAGCACTAAAGTTTTGAGTTGTTAAATGTTTTTAACAAAAGTATTTTAGTCAGAGAACGGTGACGTCTCGAATGGAAATGGGATCACAATCCGAGCGAATCCGACACAAAATTTCGGCAACACTCTCACCGTTCCGTCAAATGTTTAAATATTTAATGTTACTTTAATAGATTATTTACCGTATTCTCTCTAAAACCCGCCGAGCCGATTTGGTGACTATTTTACGGTTTCCAAGCTTTTGCAGAAGCTCAACACTCTAATCCCCCACTAGATCTCATCGTCAGCTACGTTTTCCGACGCCACATCGATAGGTTCTTATAAGCACTTTTCGAGATTTCGAGGAATTTCGGCAACGCTCAAGGTGCACTACTATTAGAGAGAATACGGTATTCTGTATTCTCTCTAATAGTATTGCCCTCTCTCCCTCGGCCCGGCCGAGCCGAGTTGATCACTATTTTACGGTTCCCAAGTTTTCACAGAAGCTTAACACTTAAATCCCCCACTAGATCTCATCGTCAGCTACATTTTTCCGACCCCACATCGATAGGTTCTGATAAGCGGTTCTCGAGATTTCGAGCAATTTAGGGAACGCTCAAGGTGCACTACTATTAGAGAGAATACGGTAACTAACTAAAAGCTTAGCTAAAAGCTTGTTCAGCTAAAAATCCTCTAAACAAATCAACAATTCCTTTTCTATTTCATAATAGACTTTGATGTGAATTTTATGCTCGAATTTGTAAACACATCATTTCTAGTGCAGTCATCACTTTTCTACATAACGTTACTGTTGGAAAAGTAAAGAATTCTGTGCCTTAGAAAGGGTGTGTTTCTATTTTCGAGCAAAAACTGTAGCTACAATTTTAGTGTTGAAAAGTTTTATCATTTCTTTTATACATAAAATTGTTTTGTTATCATTTGCCTACTTTTTGGCCCTGTAAAATGTTCGCGTTTTCTAAAAAAACGTGTCAACTTTCAAAATGATCCTAACTTTAACGGATTAAAGATCGATTTTTTTAGTTTTTTTCAAAAATTTATTCTTTAAAATCTCGAAAAAACCCTTGTAAATAGCTTTATTTCCTCAAACTTCTAGTCAAACGAATTCTAATTCTAATTTTTTTCCATATTTTGTTCATTGTTGTCAAAAGAACATTTCTAGGTAAGAAAAGTGAAAGATTACGGTAATTTTACCCATCGTTTACTGGTAGCTGAAATGATTTTAAAGAAGTTTACTCCAATTTTTTTCCAAAAAAAACCATTACTTAATGAAAATTACAGGTTTCTTGATAATCAAAAATGAAAGTTTTTTGATTTTTGATCATCAAATTGATTTGTTTCATTAGGGTAATTTTTTGTGCTTTTTTTTTATTGATTGTTGTTTTTAAAAGAACGCTTTATTTGTCTGTTTTGTGAAAATTTTTCAACCCGGTGAATCATTGAGTGAATGAGAAAGATTTCTTTTCTTTTGATGTCAATAAAATATTGTTTTTTTTTGATTAATACTTAAAACATCAAAGCAAAGTACAGGAGAGTTATACAAGACTGTCAATTATGAGACTAGACTTATCGTTTTTTTTTATTCAAAACCCCTTTTATATCGCCGTATTTACTTTGATATCTTATTTACTTTTTGCTATAAAATTCTTTTCCACCCTAAGTCGCATCCAGATTTTCAAAGCCTCTTTGAAAATTGTGGAAAGTCTTAGAAGTACACGTAGTGATCCTTATCAAATTTCGGTCGGTTCTCATCCTCATCACCTCTCTCTTTATCATTCTTTTAACCGTATTAGTAGGGTTTGGATCTGGTATCTTCTCGTCTGTAGGAAAATTCAAAGTAACTTGATTGTATCAGTAACTTGGGAAAGTTGAAATAGACCCATGGGCTCATTGTTGTTTAAAAATGTTCAGAATTCACCTCTAATTCCTGATCAATAAGCACTTCCATTGCTCCGATGAAGGCTTCACGGATGTCATCGCCGTCCAAAGTCAATGCTGAAGATTGTCAGGGTTTAAAAAAAGTCAATAATTGTCTTACAAACTAGTTACAACCGATGTCTACTATGGATCGGTCGATCGATCAAAAACTATCATTACATACCATGTTCGGAGATTGTTGGCCTTGGAACAAAGAGAGGAATCATCATCTCATCATCCTAGAATAAAGTATACTTTTATTGACTTGATTGACTTTCTTCTGTCAATCTCTTTCATCAAAATTTCAACGTTTCTAATTGATGGTAGTAGAACTTTCGAAGTGTCAAACAAGGAACGAACGATGCAAATATCGCGACGAAGCGCTTTGCTGAATTGGTATTGATGTTAGCATTAATAAATATCATCAAAGAAAAAGTTAAATACCTATCAGCATCTTTCGAGTCTTTCAGGCGTTGAACCGCTTTCTTGAAATAACTAAAAAGTTAATAATATTATAAATTAATACACAAATACTTGTTGATGATGAATCGTGCGAAATCAATTTTAGCCTGGATTGGGATGTTCCAATGGGCTTTTTGATGAACTTCATCGAAAAGTTCCCCCCAATGCTGAACAAGTTCTTTGAGAATTCATATGGTCGTTTCCTTGCTTGGCTCAAGAATCATCACAGTTGAAAAGCCAAATATTGACACTCAAACACCTTTCAAAATATTGCATTCATAAGTTCATCGATATCTTTATCTTCACCTTGGCAATCGAGCTAGAGCTCTCTTTTTGCTGATCTCAATGTTTTTTTCTTTCTTTTTTTCTTCAACCTCACACTCGTCACTCCTTTGCAAATCCTCTCCCGTCCCTTCAACGATTGATAGAATCCTGAATGGGCTCAATGAATTTTAATCAAATTTCAATACTTTTCCAAGACATTTTCAGCAATTCTTGGTGACTACCAGTCAGCTGTCAGCCGACAAAGGGTTCGCTCTTCTTCGGTTAATGCGATCTTTGGCTCATCATTTTCAGCCAAAGCAGAGCACTCCACCGTTGGCACCAAATAGAAAATGTGAGATATGATCTAAAAGTTTATCTATTGGTATTAAATAAAAAAAATACTTGAACGACGCGATAGGTTTTCCCGAGGTCGTTGACGTCCAATCCTTCCAAAAGAAAGATGACATGGCATCTAAAATCTAAACATCTAAACATCCAAAGCTAAAATCTAAACGCCCAAAGCTAGAATCTAAAATATAACATCTAAAATAAAAGTTGATCAAGTAAAGATGTAAACCTGATGGAAATATTCGGAATGTCCTTTTGATCAATCAAAGCTGGGAAATTGGTTGGCATTTCCGATTTTTCTTGACAAAGAAGAAGGATGACTTGCTGTAAAGATTTACTTACAATTGAATATCGAGAACATCTCGAGGTTATTTCACTTTTAAGAAATTAAGCAAAAAAACTTAAAGAAGTTATTGAAGTTATATGAAGTTATTGCTACAACACCTCAAGACATCTGAGCGACTGCTTTAGACGATGGGGCTCCGAGTTGGCCTTTAACGAGGGAAAGACGCTAAATCGAGAGAATTAAATAGAAAATTCAAAAACTCACATTTTGAGAATCTCCGGAAGCACCATATCTGGTGCAAATGTCGCCAAATATTTCAGAATTATGGCTGGTTCCTGAAATTTTTGAGATTGAATTACCACAAAATAATTTCACCGTTCTGTGACTCTTATCGAAAATGCTTGGAAGGATGATTGGGAGAGTTGAAGAAACGATCGTTTTCAAGTCTTCATCACCCAAGTGACACTCTGATGATCTCTGTAAATCAAGTTCCATAAAAAATTGTTGAAAGTTTTTAAAAATAAGTTTTGAGCTGGAAACGAAAAAAAATAAACGCACTTTACAAGCAAATCGCAGTTGCAAATACATTTCGAGTGTCCCTGTAGGGGCACACTTTTTTCCGACGTTTTTTGCCCATAACTTTCTTCAAATTTAACTTTTTCGACTGCTTTAGTTATCATTTTGTTTCTTACATCAAAACAAACCTAATGACCTAATAAATCTGATGATCTAATAAGTTTGAATCTTTTAAATAGTACATGGGGCACTTGATGCAAAAAGTTTTCGTTTAATAGTAGTATATAATAGGCGTTTCTAGGACAGCCGATTTTTCACCCACCACCCCCGATTCTACACATCAAAAAATACGGTACAAACGGTTAAAAAACCTGTATTTTCACAAAAAATTTCATATAAAATCATTGTGCAGAATTATCCTCCCCCAGACCTGGGATAGCCCAAAGTACTCCATCCCCCTCCAAAACCAGGTACCAATTTTTAGCCTTCCAATCGCAAAAAAGTCTAAATTTAGCAAATTATCCCACAAAATCATATGAGACAATTTTCAAAGCTGCCATACCCCACCAGACCTGGCACAGCCCAAAACCTCCACCTCCCGGATTGACCATTTGCTTGAAATTCAGAGTCCTGTTTAAGAAAAAAGCTACAATTTTAGCAATAATTTTAAGGGCTATATCCTAGGACAATTCTAACATCCTTCAATTTAAGACCAAAGTAGAAATTTTTTTCACATTAAAACATACATAAATTCAACTAATTAAAAACTTGTTTATTCATAAATAAATTATTTTCAAACAAAGATTACTCTCCAGCATTTAGCATTTCAGCTAGTTTTTTTTAAGTTTTGCTTGATAGCGCTTATTTATCGATCAAGCTCTTCGGTAGGACTGTTGAAGCCTTTGAAGTCAAGTCCTTTCTCCTCCATTCGATCTTTCTCGGGCTTAATTTGTTCATTGGCCATGTCGATCTTAGACAGCAGATCCCATTTCTTCAAATACTTCTTTGCCATCTCCAAACGCGTTTTTTCATCGCATTTTTCCCATGCATCGATGTGAACTGCTTCCCAATACACCGATGAATCATTGCTGAGAAGGGCTTCCTTAACATTTGTGCAAGTAGCGTACGCTTTGGGCATAAAATCAAGGATTGCCGCCTCCTTGGTGTCTTTCCACTGACCTAAATAAAAATTACTATTCTTTTCCTAAGCCATTCAAATCTATATTTTAAAAATCAACTGACCGCAATTGTCAGGATGTAAATCATCGATAAAGAGAAACGCGCCAAGCAAGAGAAGTTGCACAAGGACTTCCACGCCAACGTCTTCTTCTTTTTCGATTTTGGAAATGGGAACAAAATCGTCATTAAATATAGATTCGACTTTCCTCGCAACAGTTGAAAGTTCATAAGCCTCACTATAAGTTTCTTACAAGTAAATTTCTTCGGTTTTTAAAAAAGTCTTGAACTTTTTTTCACTTCAGCATTTTAAAATTATAAATTTTGATACGTTCTAGCCATAAAACCTAATCGAAAACCTTGCCAAGACAATGGAAAATAAAAGATTCAACTTACCACAATAATCGCGTTTCGATCCTTCAGGTCTGCTTCTTGCAGAGTTGTTGCAGCTCCAGCTTCAAGATCTTTCAATTATAAATTTTAATAGGTTCTAGCCATAAAACCTAATCGAAAACCTTGCCAAGACAGTGGAAAATAAAAGATTCAACTTACCACAATAATCGTCTTTCCATTCTTCGGGTTTGCTTCCGGCAGAGTTGTTCCAGCTGCAGCTCCGAGTTGTTCCAAAGTTTCATCATCGCGACTGACGTAAAGCTCTTGATAGTCCAGATTGACTTGCAAAACATCACGGATTAATCGACGTATATCGTCTACTGTCGACTAAATAAATCCGTTTAAAGATTAAATAAACTAAAAGTGAACCCCGGCAACAAAAGTGAGACTATTGACGCCTCCAACGTTATCATCATTGTGATCTCGCAGTTGGACCATCAGGGCGATTCGAGCTTCCATCTAAAAGATAAATGATTAATCAAATTGTTGTTGTGAAAGTAGAAAAGGAGTTGCTTCGCTGTTGCCTGCGTCCGAGTTTTCAAAATTTTCACTCATCTCTGCAAAATGAAAATCTTAAGAAAGTTGCAGAGAAGAAAACACTGCCAAAAAATAAGTTAATTCTTAAATCAAGACCATCGATTACAACTAAACTAGGTAGGTAGGCAAAACGGTTGAAACTTTGTACAAATTTATTAAAACAACCGCAAACTACTGATATTTTTTTCTGATGATGAAACTACTGATGAAAGTTTTTCAACGCTTTAACGGCAAGAAAAATAATCTCAAAGGAAGTTAGAAACAACGCACCCCTTATGGTACATACATATTACAAAGACAGAAAGTTAAATATATTGATTTTGTAACATAACGGTGAACGAAGTGGTTACAGACATGAAATAATAAAAAACAAACATAACAAATAATAAAAAAATCAAAAATAAAGGCCACATCAATTTCCTCCATCTTCCTTCTTCTCCTTCTTCTCATTCTTTCCTTCTCCCTCGCTGGCTGTCTTTCTCTTCAGAGCTAAAAATGATTTAGCATAGATTTTTTAAATAAATTTGCAAAACTTACATTCGTTGCCTTTTGGTGGCTCCGCTACTTCGCGTATATGGTTTCTGATATACTCGATGTATTCGTCCAAACGGACGGCTTCCTTCGTCTTGCCGGCTTTGTCGTCCTCTCCGAATTTCTTTGCGATGGCTGGGTCGCTCTGCACTTGGTCAAGGGCTTTTGCAATATTGTCCTCGATTTTCCATGTAGTGGTGACATATTGATTGAAAGGCTCTTTAACTTCCTTCTTGCACGCTTTTTTTTCGGCTTGGACCTGAAATTAATGGGTTTGTTTAGTCTTTAATTCGAATAAAGGCTGTTTGTGTTCTTAGTTGTAAATAAAAATAATTACCGTAAAATCGACGACCTTCAATTCGTGCGCCAGACCTCCCTCCAGAGTTTGAGTTTCGACGTATCCCCAGTTGGCCTGATTTACCAACCCAAGATCTTCTAAGCCTAACAACCAGACAAGTATCTCCAACTGTTTCTCCATTACTCCTCTGCTCTCTTTATCGATCGCTCGCCATTTTTCTTCATCCTTGTCTAAACTAGATATATTTAATTGAAAATATTTGTGAAATTTAACCTTTAATGCCCTGCATCGCAGCCTCAACCGACCGTCCGTCACGTGTCCAGAAACCATGAACTAAATTATTAGAGTTTACGCTTAAAATCAAAAATGAGCCTTACTTATCTTTGTTGCCAAATACACGTATCCACTTTCAGCTGCATCTCGTATAACGAGGACCTCTTCTGATCCAACGTTGATGAGACTGAGCAGACGGTAGACGAAGATCTCACGAAGATCGACGTAATGAAGATTCTTGCTCTTGAGCTCCAGACCCGAGTTCATGCCAGCCATGAACTTGGCATAGTAGGCAGTAGACTTGTCGTCCCACTCCAAATTAACGCGACAGGCAGTCTAAAAAGTTAGAATCGTTCGGAGAAAACGAATTTACCTGGATACCAGCACCTTCAACTATTGCACAAGTCACAGATGCCTGGGAACATCTCTCCTCGAAGTAAGCTTGAACAGCTTTTAGAAACCATTTTTTCTCCATGTGAAGGAGCCAAAAGCCGGTCCTGTTGGCCTGTTCATTACGAATCCGATTGAACTCGCGATACGCGGAGAAGAAACGGGCTTGTTCAAGAGTCTCCAAGTACTTAGCAGCCTTTTCTGCAATCAACAGCAAATTTTTACGGAGGTTCCTATCGGCCTTTGATCCCCTCGATGTGGATCCCCCGCGGATTTCCTTCTCGCTCAGAGTCATGAGCTTGTGCACTTCCTTCTGATAGTCCTCCCATTCTCCAAGCATTGCATGTTTCTGAAATACATAATTTTCAAGTCTTAATCGAAAATCTCGGCTAGGGAATGTCAAATAAAAAGATTCAACATACCACAACCAGCGTGTCTCCATGCTTCACCCTAGTTTCTTTCAAAGGAATTTCATCAAGTGCCGTGAATTGTTCCACACGTCGATCATCGCGATTGATGAAAACTATTTGATATTTCGGATCGACTTTCAAAACAGTATGGATATGATCTCTCAAATCCTTTGCCGTCGACTAAATAAATCCATTTAAAGATTACATAAACTAAAAGCGAACCGCGTCACCAAAAGTATGCATCAAGATGTCTCCAATGTCCGCATCATCCGCATCATGCAGCCGAAAAAGCAGTTGGACCATCTAAAAGATAAATGAATATATTTAGAAAAGAATTGAAAGGACGTGCAAAAATGTGAAATTAGACTATAAATTGAAATATTCAGAGTAAAAATGCGAGAGACTCAGGAAGCCACCCGGCAAAAGCTAAATGCAGATTCGGAATTCGCGTAAAAAGCGCTAGCGGATAGGATATGCCTCATTTTAAAACCATCGGATAGGCTCTGTCTACTATAAGTTGGTGCAAAAACATTATAGATTTTACGGAGGGGGAAGGGAAGTTATGAGCGAGTCGAAATAAAAAGTTGCACAATACCACACGACTCCACCACAAAATGGAGAAAAATGAAAAGAATGGCAAATGGGGAATTTTGTGCGGGGTACGGTAGGACATCCACGCTTTAGAAAGCGCGCCGCACCACTTTCGCATCAGCCCCTTTAAACCGCACGTAAATAGGAACCTAACCACATATTGACTGTAAATTTGCTGGAAAAATTAGCTTTTTTGTGATTTATAATGGAATGGGATTTCGGTGAGCGAGAAATTTGGCGTATGAAAAATGCGTAGGCGATGAAAAATGAATATTTTATAACTTTTTTTAGGCTTTTTGCGTATTTTAGAGTTAAAAATAGCAAAAAAGGGGGTAAAAATTGAGTGCGGGATTTTTGGGTATATGGGTGTGCCAGAGGCGGCATATATGTGTATACTACTCTTATCGAGAGCTCGATAATCAATTCTAGTTAAAGCCCAATAAACGGGGCCTTGAAGGTTATAAAACAGTAGAATTAAAGTTGTGATATTTAGGTTGTGAATTTGAAAGCGCTGTTTGAAGTACGGGATCTGAGTTGGGACACCGCTTCTGTAATCTTTGATCAATGTCAACAACGGGAGCCATTCAAGATTTATCGAGCATGGCGTAAGTAAGCATTCATCTTTGCATTGGGATTTCTCGCTCACCGAAATCCCATTCCATTATAAATCACAAAAAAGCTAATTTTTCCAGCAAATTTACAGTCAATATGTGGTTAGGTTCCTATTTACGTGCGGTTTAAAGGGGCTGATGCGAAAGTGGTGCGGCGCGCTTTCTAAAGCGTGGATGTCCTACCGTACCCCGCACAAAATTCCCCATTTGCCATTCTTTTCATTTTTCTCCATTTTGTGGTGGAGTCGTGTGGTATTGTGCAACTTTTTATTTCGACTCGCCCATAAGTTTCCTTCCCCCTCGGTAAAATCTAGAATGTTTTTGTAGCGCGTTTTGAAAGTACTCGCTTGCCCTCCCTTCTTTTTATATAATTTGCCCATAGTTTGTTGTTTAGATTTCTAAAATGGTTTTTTTTAGATGGAAATCGAACTGTATGTCTATCTGCAAGATGACACGGGTGGTGTTGGAGGCTTCAAGACTTTTACTTTTGGTGCCACGGTTCGCTTTTAATTTATTTAATCTTTAAACGGATTTATTTAGTCGACAGTACACGATTTGAGGAAACAAATCCTTGCTGCTTTTCATATCCCTCTGCAACATCAACAAGTTTACCTCGTTCGCGCTGAAACTGAAACTAAAAAGGAAACACGGGAACAACTCAGAGGTGGTACTCTGCAAAAAGCAAATGTGACGAATGAAAGCAAGATTGTTGTGGTAAGTTGAATCTTTTGTTTAACATTCCCTAGACGAGATTTTCGATTAAGACCTGAAAATCATATATTAAAGTGTGAATTTTTTCTTTTCAGAAGCACGCAGATCTTCAGTGGTGGCCGCAGTACAAAAAATCTGTTGAGATTGCAATGAAGTCATCGGGCCGTGAACGAATGTTAAATGCGCAAGAGGCCGTCAGGCTGCACATGCGATTGATGGAAAGTGGCTTTTTCGATGTCTACACCAGCTTCAACTCTTTTCGCATGGAAAATCAGCATGAGGTGACCTATTGGGCTGACGGAAACTTGATTTTGATGAAAAAAGCCGTTAAAAGCCATTTTCGTGCCCAACACTACAAACTCAAGGACGCCAAGGACGAATCTGACTTCATTTGTCGCTTTGAATCTCGACCGACGGATCTGGGAGGCACTCGCAAAAACACCCTTGCTTTTGTCCGGCTTCATGGAGAGATGGAAGAGACCAAGTACAATGTGAAGTAAGATTTCTCTAATTTCGAGCAATTTAATTATCACAATTTGTTTAGATGCCATCACTTTGGATCTCGAGCATGGAGCAATTCTGGAAAAGGGCAACCTCCGGACATAAAAGAATTGTACTGCTACAAACTGCTCGAATTGATCGACGTAGGACCGCATTCTCAATTCATCCTTCCAAAAAAAGTCGTTGACAGCAAGACTTCCATGTAATAATCTTTACCTTTTTTCTCTTATTTACGTATAAATTTTAGGTACATCGCAACAGAATGGCATGACGATTTTGTTCCCATTTCCAGGATCAAAGAAGAAAAAGATGTTAGCGTGGAAATCCTTGTGCAACTTCTCTTGCTTGGCGCGTTTCTCTTTATCGATGATTTACATCCTGACAATTGCGGTCAGTTGATTTTTAAAATATAGATTTGAATGGATTAGGAAAAGAATAGTATGTTTTTATTTAGGTCAGTGGAAAGACACCAAGGACGCGGCAATCGTTGATTTTATGCCCAAAGCGTACGCTACTTACACAAATGTTAAGAGAGTCCTTCTCAACAACGTATTGGGAAGCTATTCATCGATGTATTGGGAAGCAGTTCACATCGATGCATTGGAAAAATGCGATGAAAAAACGCGTTTGGAGATGGCAAAGAAGTATTTGAAGAAATGGGATCTGCTGTCCAAGATCGACATGGCCAATGAACAAATTAAGCCCGAGAAAGATCGAATGAAGGAGAAAGGACTTGACTTCAAAGGCTTCAACAGTCCTACCGAAGAGCTTGATCAATACATAAGCGCTATCAAGCAGAACTTGGAAAAACTAGCTGAAATGTTGAATGCTGGAGAGTAATTTTTGTTGAAAATAATTTATTTATGAATAAACAAGTTTATGATTAGTTGAATTTGTGTATGTTTTATTTATCGAGCATGGCGAAAGTAAGCATTCATCTTTGCATTGGGATCTATTGTTCACTGTTTATTAAAACTTTGATGTTTAGTTGTGAGCAATGCCGCTCAAAACGACGATTTGAATCACCGCGCAAAAGGACGAACAGATGCAGGCAAGTTTAAATTTATTTAATGGTTTGTATTTGTTTGTTTTTAGGGGTGTCAGTTTACAGCAGCACTAAGGGATCATTTCATCATGTCATCAATTCCCTGCTCGTCTACAAGTGGTTATCGTACACAACGAACCTCGGTTTCTGGGGCATTTCTAGGGGAATTACGCGATCTATTGCCAGCATTTGAAAACTTTTCACTCACGCAAACAAAGGATTGAATAAGTAGTTGCATTGTACATTCTCGTAAATATCTTTCTTATTGTTGTTTGTTTGTAAAATTTTGATTGTTATTGTCTAGGAGTTTGTCATTTTTATTGGAATAAATCGTTTTATCTGATTACCCAATCACGAGCAAAACGCTATTGCGACGTTTATTCTTTTAACCTGTCGATGATCTTTAACTATCAAGCTGATATTTTGAACCTGTCTTGTTACAGTTATGAGGAGTTCCACATTATGAACACGATGGCCTTTTGAATCGCTCTTCGTCAACTTCACATCTGGAACTCGTTGACTTTTATTGGAGACTACTCCAACAGCGCTGGCGGTACCTATCGCAATAATCATGATGAGCAAAACTGGGGACGACAAAATAGTGGTGGCTATCAACACGTAGAACATGAAAATCGTGGTGGACAAGTCAGAACTCCACTAAAGTAACGCGCATACAGTTAATATACAGTAATTAATCTATACAAATTGATTTTAGCAACCGTTGGAGAAACACTGACGATGAACCTCAAGCTGAAGTATGAAGCCAGCAGCTTCCAAGAGGTACTAGATTTGAATGTACAAAAATAATTTATTACTAGTTTAGGTGAAAGCTCGGAACAGGAGCTCTTCTCAGGAATGAACTCGGGGATTAATTTCAACAATTATGATGAAATTCCCGTTGAAGCAACTGGTGAAAATGTGCCACAACCTGCGACTTTGGTATATTATTTTTGTATTTCAAATGTGATCGCGCATCTTAGTTCTCTGAGTTGAAGTTGCACCAATGGGTCAATGAAAACATCAAATTGTCGGGTTATGAGCGTCCGACACCCGTGCAGCAGTACAGCATTCCGGCATTGATGGATAATCGAGACCTGATGTCTTGCGCGCAAAATGGATCGGGAAAGACTGCTGCCTTTCTAATTCCATTGATCAACCACATTCTTCAGGTTTATATATAGCTTCATACAAATAATTATGTATATTTATTTAGAACGGACCTGAAGCAGTTTATCACGAAGCTCCTGGATGCAATGGTCGGAAGAAACAGTTTCCCTGTGCTCTTGTCCTTTCGCCAACTCGTGAATTGTCACTTCAAGTAAAAGATTTAATGCATGGAATTGGCAACTTCTCATCTTAGATCTATAATGAGTGCAGAAAGTTTGGCTATCGTACACCCATAACTTCGGCAATTCTCTACGGTGGTCACGAAAATTATCAACAACAAATCAGCAAACTTCGGGTAAGGATTTTGGAACTCAAAATACACTTACAAAAAAAGTCGTTATATTTGTTGTTATTTAGCTTGGTTGCCACATTCTTATTGCCACCGATCGTATGCTAGACATGGACTTTGAGCCTCAAATTCGACAAGTCAGTTTTAATACATCATGTATTTCATTGATGTGTTCGCTTTTAGATTGTCGAACACTCAACTATGCCAGAGAAGAGGTATCGAGTGACTGCTATGTTTTCTGCTACGTACCTGGAGGAAATTTAGGTGAGTTTTGTTCGATAAGCATTAATAATATTTTCTCAGATTCTGGCTCAAGCTTTTTTGGTGCCCAATTACGTATTCTTGGCTGTCGGAGGTTTGCGTGATAATACTCTGCTGTAGCAGTTGGTCGTATCTTTTTTAGGCAACGAGGCATTGACGGTAGTGTTCGTGGAAACAAAGCGTGGTGCTTCGGATCTCCAAAATTACCTGGACCGTAAGAACTATGTTGTGGTGGCTATTCATGGAGATTTGAAGCAATTTGCCCGAGAACAGAGTTTGGAGCGTTTCAGGTTTTTTGGTCAAGTTTTCCTCGATTCGTTTAATTTTAGATCAGGGAAAGCAAATGTGATGGTGAGGTTCTTTCGAGTGTTGTCCGATCAATCAAGATAGTTTATTTTTTACTAATTAATGGATTTAGGTTGCAACGGCTGTAGCCGCCCGTGGTCTTGACATCCCAAGTGTGAAACACGTAATTAATTACGACTTGATGAATATGTGCATCGTTAGTTTACAGTGTATTGAGCTATTTAAAGTGCATTTTGGGTATTGGACGTACTGGACGTGCTGGCAATATTGGATTGGCGACTACTTTCTTCAACGACAAGAACACGCGGCTAATAACGATCTTATCAAGCTGATAATTGAAGCTAATCAAGAGATTCCAGAGTTCCTTTCGACGGTTTGCTGTCTCTTTTCTTGACTATTCATTTGAATGTTGTAGGTTTCGAACGATGCTAATCACTATGGACAAGCAAATTCGCGTGAACGTGGAAGCCGAGGTGGACCACGCAATATGCCTCATCGCAATTATCGGATTCAAAAAAAAAACCCGGAAGCCACTATGAGCCTTCGCCAGGTTTCAACGTAGTTGTCTATTCTTACTTTTGCTTTAGCTGAGTCTTCAAGGAACGGCTTCCGCCCAAAACCCACCCAGAACAAAGATTGGTGGGATTGAACTGCCTCACGTAAAAATCTATTTCAATAGTTTTTTATTTGTCTTTAATTGATTTTTAAGTGTGTTTGATTGCTATGTTTGTGGCTCGAGTTTTATTCCACTCTGCGTCTAATTCCATATCGTGTTTGTGGAATTATTGGTCACTTGTGAAAACCCCTTTGCCCTGTGAAATGTGGTGTTCTTCCTTTAATTGTATTGTTTTTGTGTATTTCATAAATGGTTTTCAGAAGAAAATGGAATTGAGCTGGGGTGTATACGTGCGCTCATATTGTTGATAGGAGCTGAAGTGGAATGTGATTATCGTCATTAAGAATGGAGAAGGTTGAGAGCGACCTTGGCGGTCAATTCGCCGATAGAGAAGAGGTACATATTCAAGCAAACATGAACCAATAATTTAACCTTAAGAACCTTAAGGCTAGTAATTCGCCACCACCAAAACTTTACGTCGACACCTCTCACACCTCCAGTTTCTTCGAACAGCTTGATTCATTGAGAAGGTCTTTTAAAATTCGATTCTGATTCAACAAAGTTTTAGTGACCGTTTATTATGTGACGTTTCACTGGTACCAGTGAAACGAGTCTCGCTTGACAGACCTGAAACTCCTTCGAACGTTTGTAAAGGCTCGCCAATTTATGCACACAAGTAAGATTTTTAGTCAGCACTCCAACTGCAATTTTAGGGTTATTCTATCTTCTACATCTCCCTATTTTTGTGCCATGTTTGCAACTTCCAATATGATTGAATCGAAAGCTAGCACTGTAGAATTACATGATATGGATGAAGAGGTAAGTTAACACAAGTTGTATATGTACACTACGTGTTGATAGCTTTGAATTTCATTACTTTTTATTGGTTTCAGGCTCTTCGCCAATTGATCGACTTTATTTACACAGGTCAACTCACAATAAATTCAAGTGGAAAATTTGTATATTGTCAAAGCAAAACTTTATTTAGATTTAAGCCATGCCCTTCTAACAACAGCCTCGATGTTGCAACTAAATTCAGTTAAAGATGCTTGTGCAAAGTATGGACTAAAGGTTCACCGAAAAAGCGAACGTTTAGCTTTTTGATTGATACAATAACGCTTGGAAATGTCATATCTTTGCTCGACTTTGCCTGCATTTATAATTGTACTCAACTATCAGCGTCTGCTCGTAATTATATTTGCAAGAATTTTTGGTATGTTTTCATTACCTTCCAAAAATATTGTTTTTCAGTCATCTGGTAGATTCTGATGAGCTTTTAACGCTGGATTTTGAACGATTCTGCAGTTTAATCTCGGATGATCGCCTAGTTTGTGGTGAATGTGGTGAAGAAGAGGTTTATCGAACGGCCATCAGATGGATCCAAGCAGCACCAGAAGAACGCGAACAATATACACCAAAGTGAGTGATTTTCGTAAAGATTTTGTGAAATACAAACGTCTTTTTGCATAATCTGCATTTCTTAGGTTGTTGTCGCAAGTGAGACTTGGCCTCTGCTCCGCAGACTTTCTAGCGGAGACAGTTTTCAATGAGCCAGTTATTAAAAATCAGCAAGAGTGCAAGGTAGATAAACTTGTTAACGATTTTCTATTCTAACATTTCTTTAAGGATATTCTTCTGGAGGCAAGTAAAGTACATCTACGCCGAGGGCGACTTTCCCCATCTGCGTCATCACTTCGTGAGCGGTTTGTCCGACCCCGACAACAAATTGGATCGAACAAGGTTTGATTAGTGTATGATTCAGAAATATTGTGGTTTGTAGATTGTGATAGTCGTCGGAGGTCAGGCACCAAAGGCAATTCATAATGTTGACGCCTATGATCCAACTACAATGCAATGGACTTCTTGTTAGTCTTCAATCAATTTTATTCTAAAAAATAGCTTTAGTGAGCCCTTTATCGCAAAGACGTTGCCGATGTGGTGTTGCCCTAATCGATCGTCATATCTATGCTGTTGGTGGTTTTAATGGAGCTCAGCGAATGAAATCTGTTGATGTGTATGACACTATTAGGTTGGTTACTTTGATTGCCCATATGCATTTTGTTTTTAAATAATTTTTCCAAACAAAAAAATTTAGGAATCAATGGATCCCTGGGCCACCTATGAGGTATTAGTTTGTGATACAAAATGTTATGTGAGTATCGAGTTTACTTGTTAAGTTGTTTGGTCTTGTAATCAAATAAATTTTAGGCTTCGTCGGGGAACTCTTGGGGTGACCACTCTCAACGATCAGCTATTAATTGCTGTAGGAGGTTTCGATGGAGCAACAGGGATTGCAAATGCTGAACTGTTGGATCCACGAACAGGTTCGCTAAGTTGTTTTGCAAAAACTATTGTTGTGTTTAGGAGATTGGTCAGAACTTGCCTCGATGATAACGCGTCGATCGTCGGTTGGCGTGACGTCTGTTGGCTCTAGTGTTTATGCGGTTGGCGGATACGATGGTCAAAGTAGACATTGTTTGAATACGGTATGTCTTCTTAAACTTTTCAAGAATAACCAATTCTTTTAGGTAGAAGTTTTTGATCTGCGAGCAAATCGTTGGCGTGCTGGGAAACCATTACGCGAGGTAAGTTTTGATTTACAGCTTTTCTTAAAATTGCATTAGGTTCGATCTGGAGCTGCAGTATGTTCTCTTAATGGTTTAATCGTTGCTGCGGGTGGTCACGAGGGAGCAACTGTGAGAGATACCGTTGAGGTTTGTAACATTTTCGTATGTAATTATTCAAAAGAAAATAGATCTATAATCCTGGGGTAGATGATGATTGGGCATTGATTCCAAACATGAGCGCTCCAAGACGAAATGCGGGTGTACTTTTTGTGAATAGGTAATCAAGCTTTTGAGTAAACATAATACATTTATTGCAGCTCTTTAATGGTTTTCGGTGGCGATGAGGGAGATTCTCATTTATTGGATTCGATTGAAACATTGACAATGGATATGGGTAGAGGACAACGGGCAGAGTTTGCCGGAAGATGGCAAGTAATAGAGGTACTTTCAATTTTCTTTAAAAATGAGCATTTTATTTAGTCAACACTTCCGCAACCTCGATCATACAGTGGATTAGTGCTTGTCGATAAGCCGTAGCTAAAATTTAGTTATTATCTTTAAGCATTTGTTTCCATGGATTTCATGTTTCTGATTTTTTTTCTGATCTAGTCTTTCAGTTTTTATTTTTGTTGTCTGAAATAAAAAAAATTCTATTTCTTTACTGGTACGTAACGCGTTTGAACACGTTTGAGATACTCTTGGGTGTAAAAGCACACAGCTCGATTAAACACACATTTTAAGCTTTTCCAAGTTGATGACAACTTCCTATAAGCTTAAATGGACGCGGTTTTTGATCCAGCAAAAGTAAAGTTTAAAATTGAAGTTGAATGAAGTTGAAGAAACTCACGGAGAGCGCCGTCAATGCATTCCGGCAATCGAAGTAACTATTTTGAAAAAATTTGATAACTGTTTCAATGTAGCCCAGCAATAGAGGCACTCGAACACGAACATATGGCCATGGTTAAACATATCAACGAAGATACTTTATTTGTGATAGCAAGGTTTAAAGCTTTCAATACAATACAATGTTGTTGGGAAAGATTTTTCCAATTTTGTTTTTAATCTTTTATCTAAATATCGAGTAGAAGCAAATAGAAAATGATTTGTTTTGCGTGTGAGATGTAGTTTAAGCAATATGTATGCAAATTTATTATCAATTCAAATTTGCTCAGTGAAAATCTCGTGGTACTGTACAATCTCATAGATGAAAAGAGGTCAGCAAGAAAAAAAATGATTACCCAAAGATAAAAGGCCAAGAAATCATAGTTTGAACATGAAGTATTCCGGGAAATTAATGCAAGTGCACTAGAGAGCTATAAATATTCAAAGAATCGATACAAGTTGTAAAAATCGATCAATTAGCAGCCGCCCATGCCTCCAACTCGGCCATAGTGTCCTGTTTTTGGACTTTTCCCTTTGAACGAGTGATAGGCCCGGAAGGAACGGTGGGAAGATCGGAAAGGGTGTCCATTTCTTGATCCGATTGTCGAGATGGAAGAGATGGAGCTTGTTTGGCTTCCTAAATGGTAACAATTGTGATTGATTATGAAGATGGTAATAATAGGTCTACTATTGTGTAAAACCCAGTCCATTTTCTCACTACACTATGCCAAACTGTATTCAGGCTAAGTATTCAGGCTTTAATTAGTGCTGAACTAAAAGACATGTCTTGTATGCTTATTCCTTATTGCAGTTCGTTTTATTAGCTTTTTGTTTTGTTCTTTTTGTTCAACGATCTTTTCTTGTGTTCTTTTTTGTCCCCTCACCTCTTCAAGTTGTCTCAATTCATCCATCAAATCATCCTCATCGGCCACATCACCAATTGGCCGCGAGATCGCATCGTTGAGCTCTTTTGAGTCTTGCATCTGCTCACCAATATCGTCCATCAAGTCATTCACCTGCAAAAAATGAATTCATAAGCAAATAATTTCAGTTTCTAGTCTATTTAGTTAGCCGATAAGTCTTTGAACACTTCATTTTGATAACTATTTAGAAAGAGCCAATTCAGCAAATGACATACGGTTTGCTCCATTAGAAAGGCCTACTATTTTTCTATAAAGTATCGTTGAAATCTTAAGAAATGTTTTGTTTCTGGTTTCTTGTTCGAAGTGTGAAGTTAACGTTTGCGAAGTCAAAAGAGAAACGATCCGATTACGCGATTTAGACATTTTGGTTCAAAGAAACATATTTTAGTGTCAATAAATAAAAGACAGAGCGCAAAAAGTTAGACATATAGTCAAATTTTTAAAACAATCTGTTCATCCAATTTCTTTGTTTCACATTTTTTACGCAAAACAAGTTTTTGCACTCAGATTTTCTTCGAGACGAGCCCAGATTAGCGGAAAAAGTTAGAAAATTGTATAATAAACATCTTTTATTTGAAGCAAACCAGATGTTAATTGGTGAACTTTTATTTCGAAACAGATTTAAAAGAAAGTGTTCAAAGATTTACCGGCAACCTAATACAAAGCTTATCTTAACTTAGCTAACTAGAGTGCATCAACCTGTCCTTTAGTTTTTCATAGATTACATTGCTCACCTTATCAATGTCGAGATCGAGATTCGCCTTCTTGAGCGACTTCGATGCATCGGCAAGAACTTTCAATACTTCGGCATTCGTTCCCGCGTCTTCGAGGGCCGCTCGTTGAGCTTCAAGCTTTGACAACGTCCCATCAATTCGGCTGAAAGTTTTGTTTCTCTCCATTGAACAATTAATAATTTATAGTTAGCCAGTTCAGGCTCAGCTGGCTCAATTCCCACCTCAATTCCAATTCATGATGTTTCTTTCTCTTCAACGCATTTAATGCAAGCCGTTGATTCTTTTGCCCGTGCTTCTTTGCGGTTGCGATTTCCTAAAATTTCACGTGAATTCTTTGATAGTTCCATATAGTTGCTACTCTTTCCAACAAACCTCATCAATTTTCTGTTCATAATACTCCTGCTTTTTGATCAGAATTGCTTCCGTGTCTCTCAATTGATTTATCGCCTCTTCTGCAGTGATTTCTTCCTTTTTCTTCCCGAATAGTCGTCCAAACATTGACATCTGAAAAGAATAATTGAATAGTTAAAGTAATCTTATGCTAATCTTTCTTTAATTTAAAAGTTTCTGCTACCAGATTGCGGTTTTCTTTATCGACACCGCGATTGATCTCGATTTTTCGATGAAAAGGCATAGCTGAAAATTGAGAGGCTAAGATTGGCAGAAAATGGAGAAATATCAGAATTAAAAGCACAACGGAGATTGAAGGGATAGAGCATTTACGGTAGATTACGGTAGTTTTGAAAAGTTGACATGATTTAGAAAACGCATTAGTCTCTCGTAGGCTTGTTAAATTTAGAGGTTCAAAAAGGATCCATGTAACGGATTTAGAGTCAAGAAGCTGAAATTATAATGCAATTTCTCAAATGAATTTGTTCTTTATTGAATTCGAACGAAATGATTCATAGAATTTCACACTTGCGTGCGTCGCTTCATCTTTTTTCAAGCTGCTCATTTCTTTTTCATTTGGGTGAAAGAATTTCCATCCAAAATGAAAGCCGAACGAAAAGAAAAGAAAAGAAAAAGGCTTTTTCTTCTAGAAAAATTTCTTTTAAACACTTACTATCAATTGGGATTCAAATTTCCAGAATTAAATAGAGGACGTTCACAGTAGAAACCATTGATAGTAATTTCAAAATGAGTTCAACTAATACAGCTAGACTTGTCCTAATCTGATATAAATTACCCAAGAAAAGTTTTAAATTTAAAGTAAAAATTGTAATGACCTTGAAGTTCTGGAGCTTGAAAATGCGAAAAAACTTGAAGCCTCAAAAATCTACAACAACAGTATCTCACCTGAAACACTAAAAAGACGATGATCGCTAGAAGTTTTTACGGTCTACCCGAATCTTTTATAGCAGTGAATTTTAGAAAAGATTGTAGATTAATGGTATTCGTTGAGAGATCTTACAAAAGAGAAAAGAGCTCTGTGAAATGATCAATACTGCGTATGTGAGTGAGAAAGAGAAGAGGAGACAGCAAGAAACGAATCAACGGCCAGCCCAAACACGGGAAAATCCCATTTTTAGCTCTCACACTTTTCGAAAAGAAAAAAATACGTGAAGGAAATGAACTAGAGGGGATTAAGAAGTGAGAACATGAAGTTATTCAGCCCAATGAATAAAGAACTATTTACAGATTGCTGGACCTATAACGTAAAGATTACTAGTGAATCTAGTATTCTACCGTTGCGGTCAACCTTGACCTTACTCGAGATCCTCAACTAAAAACTTATAGTACACTGCATTCTAGCTAAAATCCCTGTCAAAATTTTAAGCATTTTAAATGCATCTCTATTAAATCCTATGTTCAACCCACATCAACATCTCCAATATTGTCCCGAATATTGTCAAATCCATCTTCAATAGCTTCTTTTACTTTATCTCGTGCCTCTCGTGCACGCCGTCTCAATGATAAACGACCCATAGTGATCAGGAATGAGATTTAAAATATAGACAACGAATCGATGTGTTGTGAAGTTTTTTGGTTGACCGAGAGAAGTGGAGGGTCCTGACGGGGGAAAGAAAGGGAATGGGATGGCCGGAGAAGATGGGGAAAGGGTCACCCCTTTCCTCAAAATCCTTTCTAGTTTTTTGAGGGCATTTTTTCCTTCTCTGAGTTCTCTGAAAATCTCCCCAACATTTTCTCTTATGACCCTCGTTAGAGAGAAATTCCCATCAGAGTCGTCCTTTTCTCTCTTTCCTTTCATCAAATCTCCTCACTTTGCACTTTTCATTCGACACACCGAGTGTTTGTATTTGATCGAACGATTAGGAAATGAATATTCAACAAAATAGGCTAGGAAATAAAAAAGTGGAATTTTAACAAATAGAAAAATAAAATTAAAAAGTCTGTACAGCAGAATGTTGAATATTCATTGACTTGTATCTACAATTAGTTGATAATTTGGCATACAAGTTAGCAAAACAAACAAATGGCTACTAGATAATACAAAAAGATTTCTAAATAACTCATTGACTCACGCCCGCAAATAGATTTCAAGGTTGATTGAAAGAGATTAAATATTACTAATCAAAATGATCAACCATGAGAAAAAGAAGAAAATAGTTCAAATGAGCCACCATTTGACGTCATAAAGAGAAAAGAAACAATTATTGTCCACTATACTTATATCTCTCATCTCTTTTCCTTTCTTTCTTTCTTCTAGATCATGACTCATAGTCCTGTTTCCCTTGTAAAGAAAGGCCGATCATTTCTTGCAAAATACGAGAAAATAAATCATCACGTACTACGATGAGTAATGAAGATCTCGAGAGCAGTGGTATTAAGTAGATCAAAAGAGTGACTTGCAATTCGTTTTCCGAATAACAGCAATTGCAAAGAAGTTTCAGGGGGTGGGGCAAATGCTACCTTTTTTTCGCTGTAAAAGGCCTTAGGAAAGATCGTAGAGCTTCAAAAATGTTTTCATGTAAGGGAATCTACGCATACGATTACCACTGGGGCCTTTACGGTTAACGGCGCAGGTAGCGATTATCGTCGGCGGTCAATTTTTTGGCCAACTTGCAGCCCAATTTCAGATACCGTAAATACTGTAATAGTACCCCACCCCCATAATGACGGTGCGGAGTGTTGCGTAGTCTAGCTTTGAACGAGTTTTTAACGAACACTGGTTTATGCTACAATGCGCGCTAGGTACAAAAAAAGCGAAACAGGGCTATTTTTGATACCAAAGAATGACGGGCGGGGTTGGTAGTCTAGCTTTGAACGAGTTTTGAACGAACACTGGTTTATGCTACAATGCGCGCTTAGGTATCAAAAAATAGCTGAAATTCAGGGCTATTTTTTGATACCAAAGACGCATTTTTTGAAAGTACGGGCGCTTTGAAAAAAATGAAATACTAAAAAACTTTTGCGACTACGCGACTGTACGAGGGAGGTGGGGTACTATTACAGTATTTACGGTAGGTTTCTGTTAACAACTTTTGATAAAACAAATAGTTTCTGAAAGCTGCCGTTCTAAGCTATCTAAATCTTATTAAATTAACGGCAAGAAAAATAATCTCAAAGGAAGTTAGACTTGCTGTAAGAAAGTCAGAAACAACGCGCGCGCGAGCTGGAAACGAAAAAAAACAAACGCACTTTACAAGCAAATTGCAGTTGCAAATACATTTCGAGTGTCCCTGTAGGGGCACACTTTTTTCGACGTTTTTCGCCCATAACTTTCTTAAAATTTAACTTTTTCGACTGCTTTAGTTATCATTTTGTTTCTTACATCAAAACAAACCTAATGACCTAATAAATCTGATGATCTAATAAGTTAGAAGAAAGTTATGGGCAAAAAACATTAAAAAAAAGTGTTCCCCTAGGGGACACTCAAAATATATATTGGGGGTAGGCTTAATTTCCGCCATGCCATAACTTTCTTCTAAGTGGGGTCATTCTTTATGATTTCTGATGTCAATTTGTAGATCTCAATAAGTGCAACAAAATGACACCAAAATCATGAAGATTGGCCTACTTAGAAGAAAGTTATGGCGAATTGCGCAAATAAAATGGCGAAAATTAGCCTACCCCGTGTATTGCAAATAAAAAAATTTTATCTATTAGGTTGATGCATAAGTCTTTTCGTTTTTTTCGTACTTCTGTTAAAAAGTAACAAATTCACCAATTAATCTATAGTTTGCTCTATAAAAAAAGTGTTTTTTTGTTCAATTTGCATCTTTTTAAATCAATTTCGGTTCACTTTCAAGCAAATTCGAGAGTGAAAAACGCCTTTCTCGTAAAAATCTATAAAAAACTCTACGGAAAAATTGGCTGAATGAATTTCTCTGAAATTTTGGCGAAATATCAAACTTTTTTTCTCTATCTTTTGTCTATTGACACGAAGATAGGTTTTCTTTAGCTAAGGTGTCTAAACCGCATCATCGAGTTAGCCCTTTTTGACTACCCGACTTCATACTCTCAAGAAAATCCAGGCATAAAATATTTTTAAACCCGTTTTAATGTTATTTTGCAGAAAAATAATTGGTTTTTCTAATGAAATCAACCGTAGTTTAATTCGTGCATTTGTTGGCTTGAAACGGCAGACGAAAAGGAACAAAAAGACTTATGCATCAACCTATTATTTATAGTAACAAAATGATTAGCTTTTGAATTAAAGTAAAGATATTCAGTACTTTTCAGTAAAGATATTCAGTACTCCAGAGAGAGAAAACTGCAATTTAACGAGTGGTACCATTGTGGGAGTGGGACAGATGCAACCTTTTTTTCGAGTCCGTTTTCTTCATGCTTAGATCTTCTGACTCTTCCTGGTGACACGTACCTAAAAGTAACAAGTTTGCTATTAAGTCTACAACTTAAGTCTTATTGTTCTGAGCTTAAAAAACCCACAATGTATGTGCTGTGCTCGGTGGTGGGATTCCGGGGCTGAAATTGACCGACAGCCTTGTTCCGATTCTTTGCCGCCTTCGTGATTCGACTGCGAAGCCGTCTCCCAGCCACCAAACGTCGCCGTTTTCGTGGCATAAACTAAAATCAAATTTGAGAATGCCTATCGGTTTTATCGACAAGTTAGAAGAATAAACGTCGCAATAGCGTTTTGCTCGTGATTGGGTAATCAGATAATTAGAATTAGGTAATTAGAAAGCGCCGCGGCGCGCTTTCTAAAGCGTGAATGTCCTACCGTACCCCGCATAAAATTCCCCATTTGCCATTTTTCTCCATTTTGTGGTGGGGTCGTGTGGTGTTGGGCGACTTTTTATTTCGACTCGCCCATAAGTTTACTTCCGCCTCCGTAAAATCTAGAATGTTTTAGCAGCGCGCTTTGAAAGTACTCCCTTCCCCTCCCTCCTATTTATATGATTTGCCCAACTTAAAATGAGGCGTAGCCTATCCGCTAGCGTTTTTTTTACCCGGATTCCGAATATGCATTTAACTTTTTCCAAGTGGCTTCCTTAGTCTCTAGCATTTTAACTCTCAATATTTCAATTTATAGTCTAATTTCACATTTCTGCACGTCATTTCAATTCTTTTTTAAACATATTCATTTATCTTTTAGATGACACAAGCTGAAATCAACCTGTTTGTCTGGCTACGAAATGACAGTGGTAATGTTGGATCCAAACGAACTCTGACTTTGGGTTCCAAGGTTAGCTTTTAGTTTATATAATCTTTAAACAGATTTATTTAGTCAACCGTAAACACGATGCGTCAACGAATCCATAAGGCTTTGTCGATCGATCTGGACCATCAAGAGCTTTACGTCGAGCTCGATGATGGAACTTTGAAAGATCTCGAAGCTGGAGCTGCAACAACCCTGCAAGAAGCAGACCTGAAGGATCGAAACGCGATTATTGTGGTAAGTTGAATCTTTTATTTTCCATTGTCTTGGCAAGGTTTTCGATTAGGTTTTATGGCTAGAACGTATCAAAATTTATAATTTTAAAATGCTGAAGTGAAAAAAAGTTCAAGACTTTTTTAAAAACCGAAGAAATTTACTTGTAAGAAGCTTATAGTGAGGCTTATGAACTTTCAACTGTTGCGAGGAAAGTCGAATCTATATTTAATGACGATTTTGTTCCCATTTCCAGCATCAAAGAAGAAAAAGATGTTAGCGTGGAAGTCCTTGTGCAACTTCTCTTGCTTGGCGCGTTTCTCTTTATCGATGCTTTACATCCTGACAATTGCGGTCAGTTGATTTTCAAAATAATATTTTCAATTAATTATATCTAGTTTAGACGAGGGAAAGCAAAAGCCAGTTTACGACTTAGAAAGCAAAACACGAGCAAACGAGCAGATGGATATACTTGCCTACTTGTTAGACTTAGGAGATCTGAAGAGGGCAAATGAGGGGGCTACGTCAAAGTGGAAACTCAGGAGGGAGAGAGGGAGGCGCACAAATTGATGATCGTCGATTTTTCGGTAATTATTTTTATTTACAACTAAACACAAACGGCCTTTTAGGCTATTCGAATTAAAAACTAATTTCTAGAAACTAGAAAACCCATTAATTTCAGATCACCGATCACGAAAATCCCACGGGGCCGAAGACGTGGAAGGAGCTATCTAGTTTCAATCGATATGTCGCCGAATGGGAGATCGAGAAAAGAATTGATGAAGCCCATGACAAAATGCTGATCCACGACACTGTCATCCAAAAGAAAGTCCAAAAGGACGACCAAGCCTACAAGGAGGAAGTCGACAAGAAGAAAGTCGACGAGAAGAATTTGCGCAAATACATCGAGGGGATCAAAGCAAAATTGGAGAAGGGCCGCGAATGTAAGTTTTGCAAATTTATTTAAAAAAAATCATTTTTATGATGCTAAATCATTTTTAGCTCGAAAGAGGAAGACAGCCAGGGAGGGAGAAGGAAAGAATGAGAAGAAGGAGAAGAAGGAAGATGGAGGAAATTGATGTGGCCTTTATTTTTGATCGGGTTCTGTTTTTTATTATTTCACGTCTGTTATCACTTCGTTCACTGTTATGTTACAAAATAAATATATTTAACTTTCTGTCTTTGTAATATGTATGTACCATAAGCGGGTGCGTTGTTTCTAACTTCCTTTGAGATTATTTTTCTTGCCGTTAAAGCGTTGAAAGACTTTAAATATCAGTAGTTTGCGGTTGTTTTAATAAATTTGTACAAAGTTTCAACCGTTTTGCCTACCTACCTAGTTTAGTTGTAATAATCTTTACTTTTTTTCTCTTATTTACGTATAAATTTTAGGTACATCGCAACAGAATGTAATGACGATTTTGTTCCCATTTCCAGCATCAAAGAAGAAAAAGATGTTAGCGTGGAAGTCCTTGTGCAACTTCTCTTGCTTGGCACGTTTCTCTTTATCGATGATTTACATCCTGACAATTGCGGTCAGTTGATTTTTAAAATATAGATTTGAATGGATTAGGAAAAGAATAGTAATTTTTATTTAGGTCAGTGGAAAGACACCAAGGAGGCGGCAATCCTTGATTTTATGCCCAAAGCGTACGCTACTTACACAAATGTTGAGGAAGCCCTTCTCAGCAATGATTCATCGATGTATTGGGAAGCAGTTCACATCGATGCATTGGAAAAATGCGATGAAAAAATGCGTTTGGAGACGGCGAAGAAGTATTTGAAGAAATGGGATCTGCCGTCTAAGATCGACATGGCCAATGACCAAATTAAGCCCGAGAAAGATCGAATGAAGAAGCAACAAATTGTCTTCCAAGGCTTCAACAGTCCTACCGAGGAGCTTGGTCAATACATAAGCGCTATCAAGCAGAACTTGAAAAAACTAGGTGAAATGTTGAATGCTGGAGAGTAATTTTTGTTTGAAAATAATTTATTTATGAATAAACAAGTTTTTAATTAGTTGAATTTATGTATGTTTTAATATGAAAAAAGTTTCTACTTTGGTCTTAAATTGAAGGATGTTAGAATTGTCCTAGGATATAGCCCTTAAAATTATTGCTCAAATTGTAGCTTTTTTCTCAAACAGAACTCTGAATTTCAAGCAAATGGTCAATCCGGGAGGTGGAGGTTTTGGGCTGTGCCAGGTCTGGTGGGGTATGGCAGTTTTGAAAATTGTCCTATACGATTTTGTGTGATAATTTGCTAAATTTAGACTTTTTTCCGATTGGAAGGCTAAAAATTGGTACCTGGCTTTGGAGGGGGATGGAGTACTTTGGGCTATCCCAGGTCTGGGGGAGGATAATTCTGCACAATGATTTTATATGACATTTTTTGTGAAAATATAGGTTTTTTAACCGTTTGTACCCTATTTTTGATGTGTAGAATCGGGGGTGGTGGGTTAAAAATAGGCTGTCCTAGAAACGCCTATTATATACTACTATTAAACGAAAACTTTTTGCATCAAGTGCCCCATGTACTATTTAAAAGATTCAAACTTATTAGATCATCAGATTTATTAGGTCATTAGGTTTGTTTTGATGTAAGAAATAAAATGATAACTAAAGCAGTCGAAAAAGTTAAATTTGAAGAAAGTTATGGGCAAAAAACGTCGGAAAAAAGTGTGCCCCTACAGGGACACTCGAAATGTATTTGCAACTGCAATTTGCTTGTAAAATGCGTTTGTTTTTTTTCGTTTCCAGCTCAAAACTTATTTTTACAAAGCAAACTTTCAACAATTTTTTATGGAACTTGATTTACAAAGATCATCAGAGTATCACTTGAGCGATGAAGACTTGAAAGCGATCGTTTCTTCAATTCTCCTAATCATCCTTCCAAGTATTTTCGATAAGAGTCACAGAACGGTAAAATTATTTTCTGGTAATTCAATCTCAAAAATTTCAGGAACCAGCCATGATTCTGAAATATTTGGCGACATTTGCACCAGATATGGTGCTTCCGGAGATTCTCAAAATGTAAGTTTTTTAATTTTCTATTTAATTCTCTCGATTTAACGTCTTTCCCTCGTTAAAGGCCAACTCGGAACCCCATCGTCTAAAGCAGTCGCTCAGATGTCTTGAGGTGTTGTAGCAATAACTTCATATAACTTCAATAACTTCTTTAAGTTTTTTTGCTTAATTTCTTAAAAGTGAAATAACCTCGAGATGTTCTCGATATTCAATTGTAAGTAAATCTTTACAGCAAGTCATCCTTCTTCTTTGTCAAGAAAAATCGGAAATGCCAACCAATTTCCCAGCTTTGATTGATCAAAAGGATATTCCGAATATTTCCATCAGGTTTACATCTTTATTCTACTTGATCAACTTTCATTTTAGATGTTATATTTTAGATTTTAGCTTTGGATGTTTAGATGTTTAGATTTTAGATGCCATGTCATCTTTCTTTTGGAAGGATTGGACATCAACGACCTTGGGAAAATCTATCTCGTCGTTCAAGTATTTTTTTTATTTAATACCAATAGATAGACTTTTAGATCATGTCCAATATTTTGGTGCCAACGGTGGGTTGCTCTGCTTCGGCTGAAAATAATGATCCAAAGATCGCATTAACCAAAGAAGAGCGAACCCTTTGTCGGCTGACAGCTCGACTACCAAGAATTGCTGAAAATGTCTTTTCAAACGGCTTTTCAAATGTGATGGCTCTTGAGCCAAGCAAGGAAACGACCATATGAATTCTCGCACTTGTGTTTTCATACCTTGAACTGTTGAAATAATCAAAATGACGTCAAACTTGATAAATTCCCCATCAAATACACAAGACAGCGAAAAATGGTACGAAACGAGGCTTTTCTCCGTGATGACATCGATCAACTTTTCTCCGCTCTTTTCAGCAATGCATCAAAGCAAACACGAGTGGTAACGTCTTTAGATTCAATTTCAATTTCAACTTCCCTTTCAACTTTCAACTTTCCAGAAACACGCTCACCGAATTTTTCTCTTTATCCGATCGACGATCTTCATCAGCTGCTGCAAAAATCGCGCAGACTTTAGTGACGACATTTGTGAGTGGTGTCGTAAAAACAAAAATAACCTAAATTTTAGTATGTACCTGAAGTAGCTGAAGAGCTGTCGATGTTGATTTGTGACAAAGTGATCGAGGAACTCGACGAGTTCATTAAATCGAGAACCGAGAAGAGCAATGGTACAAGATTTTATAGTGGAAAATCGGAAGATAAAAATAAACCGAAATAAATACATTTGTAAATTACAGGTGGTCTGGGTTGTTCGAATCTCTTTTAAGTAGATACTACCATTTGGTGACTGAGAAGACCAGAGAGAAGATGCTCAAAGTGATCGATGGTCTCTTAGCGAAAACGGATCAGCCACTTTATGAACATTAAGACCAATTCAATCAATCAAGTCAATAAAAGTATACTTTATTCTAGGATGATGAGATGATGATTCCTCTCTTTGTTCCAAGGCCAAACAACATGGTATGTAATGATAGTTTTTGATCGATCGACCGCTCCCTAGTAGGCATCGGTTGTAACTAGTTTGTAAGACAATTATTGACTTTTTTTTAACCCTGACAATCTTCAGCATTGACTTTGGACGGCGATGACATCCGTGAAGCCTTCATCGGGGCAATGGAAGTGCTCATTGATCAGGAATTAGAGGTGAATTCTGTAACGAAAGAACATTTTTAAACAACATATTCCCTATGGGTCTATTTCAACATCCCCAAGTTACTGATACAATCGACGCTCGATTTAACGAACAGGGAACCGGAAAGATAATTCGTTGAATAGGAAGTTCGTTAAATCGAAATTCGTTAAATAGAAGCAAATACAGGATGATCAAAAAGTTTCCGCACACTTGTAAATGATTCATTTTCTAAATGAAAGCTAAAACAACATTTCCCGTGTTTTATAGTATTTTGAAGCTAAAATTCTCATGAACATTTCTATAAGTAAATCACTGCGATCAGAAATTTCCAGCTTTTTCAAGAAATCTTGCACTGCATTCGAGGCAAATCCCGCATCAGACAACACACAGTTCCGCATGCTTTTGAAGACTATTTTACGTTTTTATTTTGACGAGGGAGTTTATTCTTTAAAAATAACAACTGAACTGTTACTTAAAACAAAAGGCGTAAATTTCAAAAGGCTTTTTAAAGGATTTTTCAATTGAAAACAGGTTCAAATAGGTGAGCGCCATGACAGTTTGCTTCCAGCGCACTACAATGCTTCTTTGGAGAGCTAGGTGACTGTGATCAGGATGATTTTGGTGTAGAAATGCTTTCCAGGATTTCAGCTTTAAAATACTATATAGTAGGTCCAATTTCGATCTAGGTTTTAGCTGAAAAATGGAGTTTGTAAAGTATAGGGGAACTTTTTGATCACCCAAAAGGTCAAGAAACTGACTTCTATATTGAAATAATCTAAATCTACCGTAAATGCTGTATTAGAGTGATAGCCTCAGATAGAATGACACCTCAATTACTTAATATTACTTAATAGTTTTTTTGGGTGTTAGCATTACCCCCACCAAAAATTGCATTATCGCCCATCACCTTTCTTTTTGGTGGGGCGGTAGCGATAATGCATCTGCAGAGTAGCCCCCACGAAAAGACCGACAAACTTTTGGACGGCAAAGATCAAAGAATATGTCATGTCATGCACATTTGACCGTTCCCCTGCCGTTGCCCATGCGAGGCTACCCTTGTGGTGGACCTGCTATTTACCTAGGCTTTTTATAGTACGTCGAAGTTCAGAGGTATCAACCTCTCGGCAGAATCGTTGCTTGACCGGATTTGCACATATTTAAAATAATCTCCCGCTTCGTGTTCACTCATTTTTGCTGTTTATTAAGAAATCGAATTGTTTTGAGCATTTCACATCAGAAGATTTTCACTAATTTCAAAATTTTCAAATTCAATAGTTGAATTTCCTGAAACCTGAGCAGAGCAGCGATACTTTTTGTGTTCCGTAGTGGTTATTTGGGTGAAAAATAGAATGAGACCATCTATTAGGGTGTCCGGAATGAAAATACCGGACAACCTAATAATAGAATGACCTATCTTTCTAATACAGCATTTACGGTATCTTTTTTTCTAACAATTTTGTTTTTAATTGTAACAATACTAATTGTTAAATGTTCTTTTTTGTTTTTTATCTAAAAATTAGACATTCTTCCTTTTATTTTAACATTCTTTAATTACAAATGCTTGCTGGATCCATAAATAGGATTCAGATCTCATCTAAATTCGATCAACAATTTTAAGATCACTTTTTCAAAAATTAGCACTGAAATTTGAACCCATCAAACACTTTAATCTCACTCAAACCCACCCACCAAAGTGGTTACGGTAATCATACTGAGAAAAGTCACGAAATGAACTCTTCCCAAAGTAATTTGCAACCACACAATGCATTTGATTCAATCAACCAAATTCATCCCAAAAGAGAAACAGACAAAAAAAAATGAAATTATTGCAAGAATTATCAGAAAAATCGGCATTTTTCTTGCTGAGATTATGCATTGAATGAGAAAAAAGAAGCCGACAAAATGGCGATTAGTTTTATTTTTCAAGATTTCTTTTTAATTCTAAGCTGTTTGAAATAAGTGAATAGATATTTCTGCATAACTTTCCTAAGCTTAAGCCTTACCTTAATGCCAGATCCCGATCAGGAATCTGGGGCTTGGCTTCTGGCGGACTTGGCCAGGCTTACAGTAAAGCCAGCTCAGACTATGCAAGTCTTGACATGGCTCTGAGTCAAAGGACTTTTAAAAATTACTTTTCAGTCACCTCTAATTATGTCACTTGTAGATGAAAAAGTGTAGCTTTTGCCCAAAAACAAATTGAGTATTGTGGGATTTCGGAATAATTGCATCTTGCATAGTATGATTTGTAGATTGTGATTTGAGAATGATCTCAATTTGACATTCTTCCTTTTGTTTTAACATTCTTTAATCACAAATGCTTGCTGGATCCATAAATAGGATTCAGATCTCATCTAATAATATGCTTTGTACATTGTGATTTGAGAATGATCTCAATTCTGTGAATTCGGCGATATCAAATAAACAGCTGTACTTTGTCTTGCTGGAGTTTGGAGTTTCCTAATTGCTTTTCTTCGTTTTTATTATTCCGAAATCACTTTAAAGTGTCTGTTGCAAGTCAAGGTTTTCATGCAAAGATTGAGTACAAAAGGCTAATAATAGATTTATCGAGAAATCTTTGAACACTTTTTTTCTAAGTTTGTTTAGAAAAAGAAAAAGTTTTGAAAGTCTTCTGCTTTGAAAAGTTCACCAAGTCATCTACGGTTTACTCTTTTTGACTGCTCGAGTTTTGAGTCCGAACAAAAAGTGAGAAAAAAAACCTTTCTTAAGATTTCAACGACCTTTTTGGAGATAAATAGTAGGTCTTTCTAGTGAAGCAAACCGTATGTCAATCGGTGAATTGGCTATCTCAGAAAAGCTTTTTAAAAAAGCGCCTTATCGACCAACATAATAGGAAGAATGTTTTCCTTTCCGTACATCCAATTTCAGTAGAAATGCTCTAAATAGTTTCTATTAATCATCGGGGCCCTCAAAGTACAAAACCAGTGCAAGACCCTTGCCCTGGCTTTACTACAAGTCTGCCTATCAAAAGTATAGTTTGAACCGGGATTCCTAGTCTGGCTCTAGCCATGTCGGAGAGAAGTTTATGAAGTGTAGACTGGAAGAAGTGAAGATTGGATTCAGAAGAAGTTCCCGTTATTTCTTCTGAATCCAATCATCACATGGATTGGAAGTGAAGATTGGATTGGTCTATACTTGGTCAAATACTACTCGACTTTGGAAAATCCCTGCAGATCTTACAAGAGAATCCAGCTCAAAGTTGAGAATCACTTTGTGCCCAAGTGCATCTTATAAAGTCGAATATGCTGATTCTGAATCTTTAAAAAGTAACTCCAAACACTCACGCAATTGCAAGGAGTCTGGCATAGAAAATTCTCTTAAATTTCGGGCTCTTCATTAGCTACAAAGAAACGTTTCAACGGCTTCGGTGGTTTAGTGGATAGTGTGCTATCCTACTGGATTTGTGAAGTCTTTTGGCTTTGTTTCGAGTCCCACATGACCAAGTTGTTAGGTTTATTTGGTTAGAACGTTCTTGTACTCATGGACGGTGAGGAAGATGGTCAGGAAGATGGCTTGGTCTGAAATTGGTCTTGGAGCAATGCTGGACTTGCTTTGTAAAACATCACAGTTTGAAACAATTAACGGTTCAGAGTGCTTGTCATCCTGAAGACTTGAATGTTTTTCTTTGTCTACACTTTGTCTAGTGGATTTTTGAGCAATAAATTCCAATATTTCTATCTCTGTTCCATCTTCTCTGTCCTCTGTTCCACCCTGTCCCATTCAGCCGCCCTCGTCAAAATTCTCATAATCTGTCTGTCAAAATATGTTCGATAGATAAAAAAAAAGATAAACGGCTTATTGACGAGATTTTGAACCGATTTCTAATTTTGGCGAACTCATGAAGAAGTGTAGGCGCGGATTTGGAGATTAAAAAGAGAGAAGTCTCGATATTTTTGTGGTCAATTAATCGAGGAAAATCCGTTGCATTGAATTGGGCAAAAGAATGGGGAAAAGAACGAAAAAGAGGAGATCAACGGGATTATGCTTTTCAGAGTTTTCAGGGAAATATTTCCTGAAAAAAAGATGGAAAATGATCTTGAAGACAATGCGCAAAAACGATAATGGCTTTCATGTTCGAGGAATTTTCATTGTGCTCAAGATTAGCCATTATTTGATGGCATTTCCCGAAAAATTTCGAGAATCTCAGGTCGGATTAGGCGGCAAACTTTGCAAACAAGATTTGAATAGGAGAATTTCTGAAAAAAACTGGCTTTAAAAGCTTTGAAAATACGATAGTTTAAGTAAAAATCGATTTGCGTTCAACTAATTTATGCTTTAATTTGTCGAAAATTTGTATCTGCTTTTCAGAAAGATCAAAAATCGATATTCCGCTGTAGAGCTATTCATTTTCGATTGGATTTTCAATGGGAAAACGGAAAATGTAAGAATGGAAAACGAGATTTGACCACTTAAACAGCTTCTTTTCAGGATTTCTTCAAAGATAGAATTTCCTGGTTCTAGTTTTTTAAAAAACTCTTGAAAAAGTAGCTGTTAAAGGAGTCAAATCTCAATTTTCCGTTGTTTGACTGCTGTAATGGTATAGAATTGCTATTTCAGATATGATTGTTAGCAATTTATCTAACAAAATCGAAATCAAGACCACAGAGTAAAAAAAGAACAACAGAAACATTTGAAAATGAGCAACTGTTGTATACGTATTTGTTTCCTTGATATCGTTGATGTTGATGATACAATTTGAATTAGAGTTTGTTCC